AATAAAGGAGAAAAGAAAATAAAAATGCAGAAAAACGTAGCTATAGACTGTAGCGCCTAAACGAATGTACCGATTTCATTAAAACTTCGCTAAAGTCATTTTCTAGTGTTTATTATGCTATGTCTATTGTTTAATATGGCTGATTGTTGATAATTTGTAAGAGTATTGTTATGAAGGAGGAGAAAAAAAAAAGAAAAATATAATATAAAATTAATGTCTGTATGGATTGATATGTATGCTGTGTACGAAGCAACCCTATGTAGTAGGGCGGCATTACTTTTAATAAATTATTTCTCTATAAATAATTAGGTATTAAAGTTAATTCCAAAATATTGTCATATAACTTTTTAGAAAACAAAATTAGTGAATAATTCGAAAGATCTTCTCTTTGTGATATTCCTCTACCATTTCATTGTACTTGTGTGAAAAAAGAAGTGAAATACAAACATATTTCATAGATACGTTTATAACCCTAAATATATTTACTGTAGTTTAATAACTCTAGATCTCATAATATATTTAAATATTTAGATATCTATCGTCCGTTTATTCCGAAAAATCATCATGTAACCTTTTAGAAAATTAAATTAGTGAATAATTTGATAACTCTTCTTTTTGCGATATTCCAACAGAATCCACTTACAATTAGTGTGACAACTTTTGACCTGTCTATGACAGACACTGCAAATCTCTTAATTCCGTTTTAATAAACTTTGCAATGGAAAACAACAGTTTAATGACTTATAGTCGTACAATTCATAATCAATGGATCGAACAATCCATAATCAACGAATCGTACAATTCATAATCAACCGGTGATATAATAAATAGGACTTTTGTTATTTTAATACGATTTGTGTTTTTTTAGCTTTAGCTCAGTTTAAAATGTAATTTAAAACATTTTATAATAGCCTAACATGGCCAGAAAATAATTTTTATTCAAAGTTCAAAGAGTAAGTGAAAGTTGTGTGTTGCGCGCACCAGATTTTTTTTTCAATGATGTAGGAACTCAAATATTTAGCCTAGAAACATAACTGAGCTTGTGCAAATGGTTTTCTACGCTTGTGTGCGACACATTTAGGGCCATAGCAATCTCTCGCACTGATTGGATGGTATTTTGATCAACAATGGCCTTAACATTGCTCGTCTCAATTTCATGTGGGCGACCAGACCGTTGAGCATCATTGATGTCAAAATTTTCTGAATGAAATTTGGAAAACAAGAACAGGTGCGTTCGTTTAAGGCATCATCCCTATAAACACTGCAAATTTTTCTATGAGCTTCTGCAGCACGCTTACCTTTTTTAAAATAATACAACAAAATATGCCGATAATGAATGATATTTTCTTTCATATTCAAAGAGCAATAGAAAACATAATACTAAGCTAGTTTCAACAAGAGTTGACAGATATAGTTGTTTACAACAGGATAAACAATCCTCCTTAGGGATTAATTAATTCAGATAAGATATATATATATAAGATATCAGATAAAAAGTGACATAAAATATATAGAAGAACCGAAAGGGCTTATATGTCCACCCAAAGCTTGGTACTCACTGAGTACTACTCAGTACTGAGGATGTAGCATTTGCCCATCTCTAACTATTCGTGTTTGCTATTTCTGGATTCATCATTCCCGTGTTTATTGTCGATGATCTATTCCATGTTTTTAAAGATATTTAATAAATATTTTTATATTAAAAAAGTGTGGGAAGGCAAGCAACGGTGAATATTTTTATTTGCTGTTTTTTAACCTCGCATCGACTGCCAAGGTTATTAGCGATTATCTTTCCTCTTAAATACTATTTATTAATTTTATTTGTTAAATGTACTTCAGCGTTTTTTTCAACTCCATTGTTTGTTTTTTTTTTTTTTTTTACAGTGCTTAGTATTCAATGTTGAAATCTATTCGTTGTTAATGGATTTTTTTCACTGGTATACGTGTTCTACGGTCAGATTAGTATTGCCACATGTCTGACATGTCGATGTTGGGCAAGGAGGTGGAGATGGGTTAGTTTGGAGTGTCCAATTCTGTGCCTGCTTATTACAGAAAATTATTTTTATATTAGGGGTTTTGGAAAATGCCACGCTTGATTTTCTTCTTTGGTCAAAGAAAGGTGATTGAGTGGCAGTAATCTCCACTGTTCTTTCCAACTTTCGTCTCCTTCTCTTAAAGTTTCTTTTGTCCACTCGTAGAGAAATATTGATCCTAAAAAAAGACTTCCTTTGCTTCTTCATCGATTCCTTCGTTACCAGTCTAGTACGCCATTGTGAGAATGAAACCATAACAATGATTGCGATTTAAGTAATTTACTTTACAAATAAAATTTGAAAATTAAATGGCTATGTAATTAATAACATAAAAACTTTTGATTATTTAGCATTTTCGTTAAGGTTATAGGATTACATAAACATTTCCTTATTGTTGTATTATATTTATATTTTTAAAATCGAGATGTTTTAAATTTAATTCCACGTTTATCCGCTTAACTGATTAATTAATTAATTAAATCTTATAATATTTTTAAATAATTCATAAACCATTTGCCAAAGTAGTAAAGGAAATTTCTTTTGTTCTTCCATTTTTCAACCGTTTATCACACATTTCTTTTTCTTTATTCTACTGCTATAAAGAAGCTATTTTATAAACATTTTTTTTTATGGAAAAATAAGTCATTCTCCTTTGCACGGCCCACAGGAGAAGGTGAAGCTGTTCCCCAAAATGGTAAAATATAACCATATTTTACAGAAAAAAATATTAAAAACTATCTCTTAATGTATTTTTGTTCATGTAATTATATTAAATAGACTTCAAGAACTAATTAAACACCATTTCATATTGATAATTTATTTCTTTTTTTTTAAATTAATTATCTTTATATATATATAAATGAAAAAAAAAAAAAAAATTTGGGCTGAAGCCCACCTCTCAAAATTAAATCCTGGATCTGCTAGTGGCACTTGGATCTACGAAGAGGAGAGGAGAGGGGGGCTTTTGGGCTGAGCCTCCCCATCCAAAAATAGTAAAATATAATCATGTTTTATGAAAAAAATTATCTTTAAAAGTTACATCTTTAAAATTATCTTGTTCGTCTAATTACAGTTAATAGGACTTCAACAATCACTTAAAGACCATTTCGTATAGGTAGTTAGTTTCTTTCTTTCTTCCTAAGTCATTATATCATATTTATACATGAAAAAAAATCTTTTGGGCTGAATCCCTCCAAAATTAAATACTGGATCCGTCAGTGCTCCTTGGTGTTTTTCAATAATATTTATAATAGCTGTAAATTGAAAAAGAAATGCATGATTTGAATTTAATAAGACTAGCACTAAATTAAAAATGTAAATGTTTTTTTGTCATGGAAACTTGACATTATCTCCTTTTTCCTCTGGGTAGTTTATAACCTGTATTATTATTTTTTTTATTAAGGACTTTTTCACTGCTGTGGTTATCCTTGACCTATGGACATGGATATGGATAATATATGGAAAATCATATATTAAATTTCAGGGATGTCATATCAAAATATTAGAGAAAATTAAAGATATTATATTAAATACAAATTTTTATTCACACTGTTTATGATTTTAATAAGTTTATTCACATTGTTATCTAAATATCATATAACTTCCATAATTTTCTATATCCATTTGTATCTTGTTCGTTCTGGTCCTCAAAAAGACCTGCAAAGTCGGGTCGAAAAGTTAAGGATTTTGAAACTGATATCATCTTTTTTTGAAATTTACATATTTAATGATAATATGCCATTGCAATTAAAATATCACTGGCCAGAGCTTTAGTTACAGTGGCTTAATAATAATATTATTACAATAATATGTTATAATAATAATATTAAGCAACTGTACTTTAGTGCCGCAGTAATGCGAAGTACCACCAACCATAGGAGCTAACGATTTAAGAGGGGAAACAAGGAAACTGCAAGTTTTATTATCTTCACCAAAGAATATTCTGGGTGATTTATTATTATTTATATAAATGTCTAATATTATAAGAATGTGAATATCAATCAAACTTAAATATTTTTAATAAAAATGTCTGCATAGAGATGCTATGGTAGAACTTCAATAAATAATAATAACAACAAATTGAACTTACAGTTAGGGATATTGTGATATTCAGCAATACCTGTGTCTGCTATGGAATCTTTAACAGACTGGACATCCCAACTAATATTATAAATGAAGCCCAAATAGCTGTGTGGTTGAATACCATCAAAAATCTCAATATTGAATAGAACTGGATTAGAATATACATTAGAGTTTTTTCTTCTCCTCTCTATGTAAATCAAAATAGTTTTTGAAAGTGTTGCCCTAGATCATATAGACAACATGTTCTAAAAGATGGATACATTTTTATTATGCTTAAATCCAACAGATCACAAGCATATGTGGAATGCTAGCTGGTATTGCATAATACAGCTGGTAAGCAATCCATCAGTTCTTAATGATGAAATTAAACTTGTTAAATGAGAAGGTCCAATATTATAACTACCATCCAAACAGGCTACTTTAAGAAGTTCCTCAAGTTTCATTGGGATGAATTAATTATTATGGTGCAAACTGTGCTTTATAATATACCCTCCTTACAGATTTTAGACTAAAAAAAGCAAAACTTTTTAATATTAGGGTCCCCAACAACAATGATATAAGTTCTAAAAAAACGATAATATAAAGGTGGGCTTGTCTTTTGGTTACATTAACCTTGGTTATATTAACCAAAATTGGGAGAAAAACCAGTAGAAAATAGTAATAATAATAAGAATTAATTAATAATTATTTAGGTTACAAAAATAATTAAAATAAAGTTGTAATACCGCGTCCTCCATTTTCTCTGCCTAGCCTTACTGTTGCCTCTAATAATAAAAATGTTCCCTACCAATGTACTATGAAATATATTGGAAGTATTAAGAATATCTGGATACAAATCCTTTAGACGTAATATGTAAATAAGAAAAAAAATTATTGAATTAGGATTAAAAATATAACTTCATTTCATTTATTTTATTAATAGAACAAATTTATTCAGGATCATAATTTTATTAAATATAGACCAACAGAAGATATTAACATCTTTTGTAATAACAGAAGAGATACTGAACAAGCAATGATTGTTTTTCTTGTCTAATAGAAAATGGTATGAAAATAATTATAATAAATACTACTATAATATATATTATTCTTATTATAATAGTATGTGTATATTGATCTCATCCCCCAATCAACTTCTTCTTAAATGGTATCTATTGTTAATAACTTTGTTTCCACTAATAAAATCTTCATTTTATGTCCTATTTATTGCTTGATTCCTTTGGTCCCAAAGCTTCAGTCATTTGGCAAAGTGTCAAATATCCTGATACAGCACTTGTCATAATCTAAAAATAATAATAAAAAATTAAATAATATATAAAATAGAAAAAAAAATAATGATCAAAGAAAAACTTTTTAAAATTTAAAAATGTAATTTACCCCTGCGATTGTCTCCCTGTTTAGAATAAATGATTTTGCTCTGTATCCTGTCACACGGACCGGTTTATTGCACATTATCATTATCATATTTATTGTCCTCCTCATGTTCTTGTCCATTTGGTACCATGGTAATTCATAAGCTACATAGGCCAATTTCTGAGCCTGCCAATAAAATAATGGTAATAACATACATAGATAATACAAAATGCTTAAAAAGACAAAAAATAACTTGTTAGTAACATGCTATGAATAGACTCACAATTTTGGAATTTCCCTATAAATACCAATATTTGGTTTAAATATAAATAATATATTTTATTTATTTCTTAATATAAATTTTTGATATTCTTTTAAAATATTTTTTAATTATTCAAAATTATTAAAATATTTTTTTTATCAGCTTGCATATTATTCCTTGCAAGTAATTAAGTTCTATTTGCAGAATTTTAATACTGCTAACGTTTGGCCTAGAATCATATCTAAGACTGATAAGAATTATATGTAAGCAGCATAAATATATTTTAAATTTGTGTGTTGCTTATAAAAAAATTATCATTGGACAGTATTATTATTATTTTTTTTATGAAGAATTGTACAATTTGATAACAAAACTAGTGCGCTAGGCTAAATTATCGATTAAACATTCGATTATAATAGATTAATAAAACATATGAAATGTACCTCAGTTGTTATCTGATCAGCTGTACTGAATATCACATAGATTTGCCTGACCATTGCAATCACTGCAAGCCCTTCTGCAGCTGTCTGATAAATATTTTCTTCTTTTTTCTGTATAAATTAACAATATAAAAAATTAATAAATAAGAGTTTGATATTTTTAATTAATGAAGGTATATATTAATGGATTAAAGATAATTTGGTATAAATTAAATTTTTCATTAATTATGACTTAGCTCCATCAATAAAATCTAGAAGTAAGTTGTTGAAAAGAAAAGTGAAATGAGACAATCTTAGTATTTTAGAGATTTTCTGGACTTCTTTTTTTTTCCTTCAATAAGTTGTAATAATTAATATTCGATTGGTTTTTGAAATTTTACAAAATAATTTCAGTAAATTCATTTGATCATCAAAATGAAAATAAGTTGACTTACACTACTTTGATTTTAATTGACACATTATATAATCAAATTTGGATAACTTGATATTGAAAGGATCGTACAAAAAGTTTGAATCATTCAAGAATTCAAAGCTATATAAACAGAAAAAACATTGCCAGATAAAAAAAAAAAAAAAAAAGAAATCTACATTTATGGATTTATATGGTTGTTATTTTAAAAAAATAAATAAAAACAATTATGCATCAATGAAATTAAGCATTACCTAAATGTGTTCTGTTTTTATTATTTTGATATGGAATTGAAATAATCTTTATTTAATAACATAATGTAAACTAGTATTAAGTCGTGGTAAAGTTGAAATAGTTATTATCTTCCAAAGGTTTAATAAGAAACCAAATGTTTACAATTTAAATTTAAAATCTGCCTGATGTTCCATTTAGAGGATAATTATATCAACTGAGAGCATTATATTATATTATATTTACTGTAAGGCAGAGGTCATACTGCTTCAAAATGTTAATTATTATTTTACAATATTTCTCCAATTCTTCTTCGGTGCATACTATTTATTTTCAATTTTATTTATTATCAGCCATTTTACACCAATTTTCAAAATTGCGCCAACTTAATGACTACACATCTAATTACGACGTTTCGGTTCGTTGAGCCATTTTAAAGTCTAAAAAATTTTGTTTACAATTTACATTACATACTTCAATATATAGAGATTCTTTTTATATACCTAAATACCAATCATATACCTGTCCTTTTCACTTATGCGAATTGCATGCGTCTACTCATAATAATTATTTTTATATTAAATTTTGAAAATTGGTGTAAAATGGCTGATAATAAATAAACTTGAAAATTATTATTTTATTTACTTCACAATTATTTTTAATGATGAAAAATAATTTTTATTTTTATAAATATTTGAGGATCTTTTATAGAATAATAACAAATGTGATACAAGTGGGGCTCAGAGTCTTAGAGTAAGAGAACAATGAGAAAAACATTAAAATATACAATTAATAAATTAAAAACAAATATATTCCTAATACCAATGATGATGAAAAAAATTGTAATTAACAAAACAATAAAGCAGATACATATTTACAAATTACAGTAAAAATTGGAATACATCTATTTAGAAAGTTTGGGTGAATTTGAAATGGTTGAATAAGCAGAATTTTTTAATGGGAAAGGTACTGGAGAGACAGATTAGAAAAAATCTGTTGAAAGCTGACAAAAGATTGTTCTACAGAAATCTGAAGACCATATCTTCTTTTACATTTAAAAAAAAATTATAAATTTCTACCATCATTTTACAATTTTTATTTATCTAGTTAATTAGTTAGTTATTTTTGTATATGATAATATTTCATTGTGGTTGGACAGTAAGGTAATAAAAATAAAAATTATTTTCTGCCTGTCCTATTAGATGTGAATTGGTTATAGCATTGGAAGATACTCGTTAGAATTTTTAAGTCGTAATCTGGGAATTTGCTGTGATTAAAAACTTCAATTATCAAATATCAGCAAAATTAAATATTTATGTTACAACAATCATTTTAATAAGAGCATATAACACAGAATTTATGTGTTTTAAAAAAAAAAATTCATATAAAATTACCTGCATCTGCATGAATATTGCTGTCATCAAATATAGCAGCAAGTAAATGGAATAGATTATTACTACAGGCGAAAATATCTTCAAAAGTACCTGCAAGTTCCTGAAAAAAAAATTATAGTGTAAGCCCACTAATTATGAACATCTTACATAATTTTAAATTAATGTCTTTGTTCTACTCAATTGTTTTTCCACACTAACTTCTGTTAAAACCTTTTATAAACTATCATTATAACAATGATATTTTTGTTGAAGAAGGGCCATTATAATACTAAAGGGAATATGTTATAAGATTGTGTATAAATTTACACCATATCTATAGAAAACATTATTGCTCATAATATTTGCACTCAGGTGGAGAAACTTTGAACCAAGCTGATGATTTTTGAAGAGAAAAACATTTCTAGGCACTAGGACCATCTGATACGATCCAGAATCTAATTTTTGGGGCTTCAGTTGAAAAGTTATTATAAATATGTATACAACAGTAATTATTTAAGGGAAAATGAAAGAAACAAAATATCTATATTAAATTGTTTTTTTGTTTTTTTTTTTTGGTTCGGTACTACAGACTGTGAAGATTTTTGTCCGCCAGATATAGTCTTCTTACAGAAGTATATTGCTTGCGGTAGCACAGATAGCCTGGAGGGGATTATTCAACCTCACGTTGCTGCGAATCATTGTCTCTCCACATTGCAATGGCAGGCCATAACTGACCCCTTTGGGGCCAATCTGGCAGTGTTCTTACCACCAACTCACTAGGATTCAAGGACAGTGACAATTCTTTCAAGATCAATAGATTATGGCTACTCAGAATCAGCAGGCACATGAAGATGTATATTTCTTTCCCTGAAAAAGATAGTCCATGGACCGGACCACACAAGGGAGGGGGGGAGGCTACTGATAACTTGCTAAACCACATGCAGATTTCCAATCAGAGACAAAAATATAAAGAATAAAATATATTTTCAAAAATCTTATTTCTATCCGCTTCCTACTTTTTGATTCATTTCTTTTCTCTTTGCTTGAATTTTCATGCACGACAAGCAGAATAATTATTTCTTACCTCAGTTCCAATTGCTGTTGTTAGATAAATTACAACAAGCTACCTAGACATTTATCAGCTGTGAATGGAAGAGCAATAGTATATCTTAGTACAATAAAATGTCCTGAGTTTGTTATATTTTTCAATAAACAAGTTTTTAAAAAATACAATAAATATAAATCCTAAATTAGAAAAAATAAATAACTGGCCGTGTTCGAGGGATTTGAGGCAGCGCCTAATATAATTTCGCCCAGACCGCCAAAAACTGGGGATAAATTGATAGTTGAGTGAAGAAGGCAAAGATGAGTGGAGTAGCTAGCCTTTGTGAAAACTCTAATCTATATAAGTATATTTGCAATAGGTATTCTTGCAAAGTAATTTCAATCTTGAAGAAGAATTATAACATGAATGAAGCCAGAAAGGTTCGCTTAGGATAAATTATTGTAAACTTTTAATGGAAAAAGATTTTTACAAATATGGAATATATATTTGAGTTAATATTGGATGGTATTGATTGCTACATATAATGGTTCATTGATTACCCTTTGAGCAGGTTGATTCAACGTTAGGAAATGGTAGGTAAGGCTGGTAAACCGTTCTTTTCGACAGCGGTGCCCAAAAAGGGTTTTATGGCGCAAGTTGCGCAATCAAAATTTATGAGAGGGACACTTTTTGACGAGGTTTCAATTTTTGAGGGGGGACACATTCCGACGGGGTTGTGAATTTTCAAAATGAAAAGTATCAAATTAAAAGACAATTGGAAGCATGGAAATGTGCAATTGTATTTAATCTTCAAATATTTTTAGTGGGCGGGGTGGCCGAACGGGCTAACGTGTGTCTGGCAACCTGAACTATGATACAATGGATTTAAGATAGTTACGAGTTCGTGTCCGGGGGCGGGTGAGTCTTTTAAATCCCCGCCCACACCCCCTGACCTCGGAAAATCCTTTATAGCCTTAAAGGCGAAGAAGAGTAGAACCAAAAAGAAAAATCTTGGAATATTTAAATTCTACTTTCGTTTGCACTGTCCTTAAGAAGAAGGGAGGAATAAAATATCTTTGGAGGGGTGAGGGAAGACTCATGTGCCATCGGCCTTGGAGGAAATGGGCACCCCTGGTTTTCGGCAAAACCATTCGTGTATAATCAATTCACAACATAGGGCCACCATTTAGTGCTCACTGGGTATGGTCCGAAGGGCATCAGTTTAAAAAGTTTGGATGTATTCATTATTAGAGAATTCTAACATCCTACAAATAATAAAAGATATAATTTTAATTTTTTTTTTTAATTTTAACATTAACATACCTGTTTACTTCTTGATGTATCTGTATCCAGACCCTTATTTTCCTCCGGATGGAAGGATCGTTTCGTTCGAAGGATGATGTCTTCTGCATCTCACTCATTGTTATAGAAAGGTAGTGCAAGAAGCTTCTCAAAATATTGAAGAAAGCCAAGAAGATGCAGGTGTTATTGATCTGCTTACCGCTGACCATGGTCAGCGAAAATGCAGTCGCGAACACCAGGAGTTCGTATATCCCTGGCCTCCTTCCGTCGAAAGGAGTGTCGAGAGGAAGCGGGTAGTGACTCCTGTAAGCTCCTTCGAGCCAGTCGATCAGGGGGACCGAACCGAAGTAGATGATGAAGTAGAAGATAGCGAAGTATAACATAGTCCTGCAGTAGTTGACCAAGAACTTTGACCTCTTCGAGTATATCAGAAGGAAGGATTCTGTTAAAAAATATATCATATAAATATGTAAGTTATTATATAACTAAATTATATATATATAATTAAAAGTTTTATTATTAACCACTGTTTTTATTTTTAACACAAGCGGGATTTAGTGTTAGTGAAGATCTCAAACAGTTTGGAGATTTCTATTCTAGTGGTACAACCAAAGTCATACTAACCAGAGTGAGAGATTGCGATTCATGCGTGTGCACTGCACCGCGCGTTTCACAGCAACCTGATAACCGAATTACAGATAAAATAAATACGAGTTAGCGTCTCGGTGCCAGTGGATTTTTTAACTCTGGCTTTAATCCTCCGCCCTCATCCCTTGGCCCGGGAAACCCCCCTTATAGCCTAATAAAAGAACAAACATCAACAAGGCAAGATTAATAATACGGAATATAAATTATAAAGAAAATGAAATGCTCAACATTTCCTTCGCTTATAGTATACAGATTCGATTTTTAGTATCTGAAATATTTTAATCCGTGTGTTCAACAAACCTTACCATTCAGTTTTCAACACTTTTTTTTTCTTTTTCGCTTCCCTAACACGGCGTCGCGTTAAGATCAAATTTCGAATTATAGCCTGTTACAGAGAGGAGGAAATGCTGACCAATTTCCACGCTTACAGTTTGTATTCACGATTTCTGACATATTTTAATCCATATGAGAAAATATTTTAATTAGTCGAATCTAGCCTACTTTACGCGAACGAAATATTATGGATCAATCTAATTCACTCTCTACAAAAAAGTGCAGAACACGCCTAAAGAAGTTTTAACTTCAATAAAAACATACAATTTATTTTTAGTTAGGGAAAAAACAAAAAAAAAATTCATACCGTTGATCAAAATACATACAAAATTCACAAAATAAATTCTGACCCGGAAAACCGGATTCAAATCAGCGTCGCTAGTCTTGAGGAAGCTAAAGTTTAAATTTTAAAACCCGCTGATCCATCATGACCTGCCATTTTTAGTTTAACAGGACTTTTTTTTTTTTTCTTAACCCTTACCCACCAATTATGGCATGCGGGAGGTTGGTTGTTCTAGAGGTACAACCACACCTATTCTAACCAGAGTGGGAGGGTAAAATATCATTCCGTGTATCCGCTAAGAAATAAAAGTCAACCAGGCCCGGATTCGAACCGGCGTCGCTAGGTACAAGGAGGGCAACGCTCCTTCTCACTCGGCCATGATATATATGCCCTCTCTTATTTTTTTTAAAGAAACATATGCTGTGTTTACTTGTTCAGATCTACTAACCTGAGATGAGGAGTTTGGATTCAGCAGATGGGTTTAGATCGGTTGCGAAAGAGATTAATGGGTACAATTGGTATATTGTGGAACTATATGGGATTCGCTGAGTAACGGAAAGCTCGATAAGTTAAGGAAAGTGTTAGGTCATTTTATATGAAATTTTCGTTTTTATTATTTCAGAAATTCAAATTGGGATCACAATACATTCGTTCTATACTATTTTTTTTTTTACTAATTAACAAAAGAGCCGATATTAATCCTCTCCTTTGTTATAATATCTACTATCATTCGAATCGATTCACATTGTTTAGTATGCCATCAGATATGACTATGGAAACACCCGATTTTCGAGGATTTTTTTTATGAGCTAAAACTTGGACACTCGGCAGCCCAATCACATCACAGCGTTCGGAAAAGAGTATTGTAACGAACGGACCATTCGTCAGTGGTTTGAAAAAAATATGCTTAGAAAAACATTATTGGTTTCTGTGGGGTGGTCAAAGGCAAGAATAATTCATTATTCCTTTTTACCCAGAGGTAAAACCATCACATCCACATCGTACTGTAGTGATATTGACATAATGCATACAATTTTATTAAAAAAACAACCTGCATTGGTTAATCGGAAGGGACCTATAATATAAGACGCCAACGCGAGATCTGATGTTTCACGACCGACAGTGAAGAATGTAAACAAGCTGTATTATAAAGTCCTTCCACATCAACCTTATTCATCAAACTTAACTCCAACAAATTTCTGTCTGTTCAGAAATTTGGTCAACTTCCTCAAAGTTGAAATTTTTGAAAATGATCCTCAGGTCTAAAAAGGGTTTTTTCACTTCATTTCTTCAAAAATCCTTGAATTTTTTAGTTCCTGTAACTAAAATTCGATAAGACTGGGGAGAGGGGAATGTAGAGCAGATGAGGGTAGATATTTTGAATAAAAATGTTTTGATTTTATAAAGTTACTTTACTAAATAAACTTTCCTGTGAAAACTGAAATTTCAGATGAAATGAATCTGTGAACTTTTTGGTAGATAGGAAGCGGTGATTATTGATTAGGTACCTGTTTTTAGTTAAGAACATATTGCTATCCGCTTTAAAGGACATAAAAGTCTTTTGGGATATGATATCAGTAACCATATTTTAGGCATGTTAGTTCAAAATCACGTTAATAAACACACATTATTCAACCAAAAAGACTATGATGAAGTCAATTGCGAATTTTATGATAAACTCGAATGGGTTTATGATATACTACCGCGAAATTTTATGAAAACAATATTTTGTTATTATTGTAGTTAGTAGTTGAATTACTTTATTGAACTTATGTCCTACAAAATTCAATTCTGGACAGATCGGTGTTTGTTTCGTGGCGGACCCACGGAATGAAACTCGACCTCCCCACGTTGGTTGAATAGGTTCGGTTGTAGGCCATCTAACTACGAAGTTGTAGAGCGATGAACAGATGGTTGTTTACAGTTCTGATATGTACCATTGGGAAACCTTCCTGCTTTTCTGTGATTAATTTAGAGATTCAGTGGCGTTCAAAACATGAATAGTGATCTATTCATTGTATATTGGAATGATCATAACATAATAATGGCTGGTTTATGGTGTTTTACTCCCTTTGTTGCCAGTCTATATCTATTGTCTGATATAAAGGGTATATTTGGGGTGTGTATAATAAATAAACGAGTCTGATGCTGTAAAACATTATTTTTTGATTCCATACATATTTAATTTTTATCACCTTAAATATACAGCCTTCTCTATCTCTATAACGCTCCATGCGAATTTCTCATGTTTGAAACAATGCTGGAAATCTTTTTCTGTGAGATACTTCAGAATGTGATTGGCTTTCACGTCCAGAAAGAACTTGGATGTAGTAATGTTAGTTAATAGTTTAACATTCACAATCAAGTTGCATAATCCCATGAATATCTTGAAACAATAATCATTTCTTTGAATTTTGATTTGCTCATTCGAGCCAATTTGCTCATTGGCGCTTCGTTTTAGTATCATGAATAAAAAAAAAAAAAAAAGGTTCGTCAATAAACATTAAAAGGAAATATAGTTTTTTTTATTTGTACCTACGTTTTAAATCAAACATGTGGGACATAATCAGAGCTGAAAATTTTAAAATACAATATGAGATATTACACGACCGATAATGGTAAATAATAAACTATAATGATTGATGGTACATGACGTTGGCACAAATAAACAATTTTTATAATGACTGCGTCCTGAATATTTATCACCCATGATATGTAGAATAGTCGAATAGCTTCCTTCAATAATTCATTAAAAGGGACAAGATTTGAGACCGGTGAAGCTGTGAATGCAATATTCCAGACAATAAAAAATTCGCATGTAACGTTATAGAGATAGAAAAGGAGTGTATATTGAAGGTGCTAATAAGTAAATATCTATGAATTCAAAACAAAATGTTTTACGTCAGTCTCGTTATTTAATAGTCACGCCTTGAGTATTTCTTGTAATTGTCTATAATTTTATTATTAAACCTTTAACAGATCCTTCTTGGCCCAGATCGCTTTCGATGATCGTTCTGGCTAGTGCGTCTAGATCGTCCGAGAGCTGCTTCATGCGACCCTTGTCCAAGAACTGGAGTAGAGATATAGCCAGCACACAACATTTGAAACATATAGCAGGTGGAAGAACGTTCACTTCCTAAAATTAAAAATTACATTTACTCTGAAAAGTTACATGTCACACACACATACATACATACATACATACATATATATATATATATATATATATATATATATATATATATATATATATATATATATGTATATATATATATATATATATATATATATATATATATATATATATATATATATTTTATTCCAAGATTCAGTATTAAAAAAATTTAACACGTCAAGCTAATACATTTTGGATTACTTCATAAATACAAGTTCTATAACAATAGACTACAGATATAATATCGCTACTGTTAGTGCAAAAGATCATATTTAACAATTTTACATGTTTATTCTTTTTGAGCTAAAGGTGACATTTTGTAGTCTGCAATTGCTATAAGTAGTCTGCTAAATAGGAAAATAGCAGAGGAAAATAAAATATGAAGTTATAATAATAATTCATTAATAAATAATAGGTTTTCATACTTTTCTGCAAAAAAAACGAATTTTTACATAATACCCTAGAATACTTTTATCATGAGGCCTTAAAAGTTGCATTTAGTGTTGTTCAAATGTAAGAATCCAAGACCAAGACGGGTCTTAGTTAACAATAACGTTGATATTGATGTTAACAATAAAGAATAAAGACTGAAGTGTATAAAAAAGTATTAACAATTAGACAACAATGATTTTTATTAATTGAAAATAATGCTAATTTAAGTATTACATCTACAATGCCTGCAAATTTAAATAAGTTTACAATTAACAAGATAAAAACACTTTTAAATTGAAACTTTTGTCATATTTGAGGAGTTGACAGCGAAAAGGTAGTCAGTACCAAAATTCAAGTTTCACAGGGTACGTCAAAATCACTATTTTATCAATGCGAAATCCTCTTAAGTTAAAACCAGCTCTATCTTTGCTATAAAATAAGGAACTAAACTAAGGTCGACTGGCAGTTACTCTCTTTTCAGTGTCACTGGCGAGGGAACGTAGTTTCATTTTAACAAAAAAAATTTTTTTAGCGTTTTTGGCACTTACAAACTTTTCACTGTCAACGCCTCATTTATAAAAAATTGTTTGTTTTTTAAAGGCTTTTTGACACTACTGTAGATGTAAAGGAGGAGACGGAAGGAACGATGAAAACTCCAGGAATGGATTGCGCAAAGAAAAATAATAAAAAAATAATCATATGTTCTTAACTAATTTTCATTTGTTAGAAATTTATTGGCTGATATATATATATATATATATATATATATATATATATATATATATATATATATATATATATATATATATATATATATATATATGTATATATATGTATATATATGTATATATATATATATATATATGTATATATATATGTATATATATATGTACATATATATGTATATATATATGTACATATATATGTATATATATATGTATATATATATATGTATATATATATATATATATATATATATGTATATATATATGTACATATATATGTATATATATGTATATATATATATGTATATATATATATATATATATATATATATATATATGTATATATATATATGTATATATATATGTACATATATATGTATATATATGTATATATATGTATATATATATATATATATATATATATATATATATATATACATATATATACATATATATGTACATATATATATATATACATATATATATATATGTGTATATATATATATATATATATATACATATATATATATATATATGTGTATATATATATATATACATATATATAAATGAATGTATGTCTATCTGTCTGTCTGTCTGTTTGTCCTTTATGCATTACTAAACCATTCATCCGATCGCCATGAAACTTTGGGAAGTTGACCCGTCCACTCCTGGGAAGGTTTCTGGCATAGTACTTCTGTCTTAAGATAATTTTATATATGTAAAAAAAATAAAAATGTAAATGTTTTTCTGTTCAAAGCTGCAAAAAATGTGTCGCTATAAACTGTAGCGCCAAATCGGCTTTAACGATTTTAACTAAACTTGGCTAAAGTCTTCTCCTTGAAACCCTTTTAATTTATGTGTATAACATACTTTCCCGAAAACAATTTGAAAAATTGTTACGGTGAATTCAAAATCTTATTTACCGATAACTAAAAAAGCACACAATTTTGTTTGATAATAGGCACAATTTATTTTCCTCCCAATGTATTCTGGAAGTAGTATGATGTATTTCAAATATTTGATTTGCTATTATTTAAAAATATTTAACTATTGAGTAATACTTATTACCGTTCATGTTCCTTTTAGAAATCAATTTTTTATTGATTTCAGATTATTTTATTTTTTAATAAATTCTTTTATCTAACATTATGTCGAATTAATGTTGTGCCGTTTTCCGTAGGATTTCTTCATGAGTATGGTTTATTTTTCCACTTTAAATTTTACAGCTCTATATTTAATCAAGTTGTTATTAAGAAGAAGCAAGCAATCAACTATATCATGGGTATGCGAAATCTTTTGTGGAAGGTAGAAGACAGTTCTAATGCACACGAAATGAACAACACAATCAACAACAAACAACTCAACACAAATTTGAACACTAAACAATATATTAAATATAAAAAAAAAATATGAAAATATATGAATGGCTTGATAAGAAAGGACGGATTTCTGTCATTTTCAGAAAGCAAAGATAAAGTCAATTTTAGTTTTATAAGTTCAAATCAGATTGTTTCTGATGATTACGAATGTTCAAGTTAAATAATAATAGAAAAAAAAATCATTAGAATTAATTTTAATTGAAGCCATTTTACAGACAAATTTGTTTCCCAACTTTTTAAAAATGACAGATGTCCTTTGGTATTAATCCACTGATCTGTGCTTTCTATTTTCTTTCTTTTCCATTTTGCCAGGCTAAGCCACAGCAGCGCGTCGCCGGGTAAAGCTATTTATAAATAAACTAAACTTAGCAAATAAACAATAATTCATACATATATAAGCATTTCGGTTGTCAAAGTCTTATTTCAATAAAAAATAGAAATTATCAATGACCTCTAAATCTCTTGATGAATATTTTCCAGAATGGTAACGATAGTCCAGTTAGTTAGGCTCCAGGATCTCCAGACCTCACCTTAGTGGTTTATGGGGCTATTATTGTTGATGAGGCTGGTTCAAAGATAAAGTATACAAAGTAAAAACAGAAACTCGAAATGAATGAATTCAACATATTAAAAATGCCATATTAAAAATTAAAGGAAGATATGAAGCAAACTGGGGGGCAACTGCCACACTTTGAAGATGAAGCCGAAAATATTTAGAGGTCAGTGATGGTATTTTCGAACATTTACTAAAATAAGGCTAAGATAAATACTAATACATTTATGAAATATAGTTTATTTGTGAAATTTTGTTTGTTTTTAACTAGACTAAGTTTCAACAAACGAAAATCGGATAAGAACAAATAATTTTTTTAAAAATAATTGTTGTGTATCGAACCCACATCTGGAGTTTGGTCCATGACTCCCAACTCTCTCTGTATAAATAAGATAATAAAAACATATAAATAAGGTAATAAAAAAAAATAAAACAAAAAAAAAAAATATATATATAATATAATATAAAATAAAAAAAAAATATTTACCTCAAAAGGAACGTTATCCTGAGTCAAAGTGTAAATATAAAGATACAAGACAAAGCATGTCACAGCCACCGTAAAAGAATCGTATGTTATCAGCAAAAGCCAGACATATTTAGATGGCTTTTGTATCCACCAAGGCATTGGCATTCCCCAGTACATTAAGCATTGGATTAGTCCACTAGAACAGATCCAATTAGCGTTTGATATTAAATTTAATAAATTATATATAAATAATAATATTTTTTTTTTATTCATTGTACAACTGCATTATAAAAAGAAAAAAATACATCTATTAAATATGAAATCAGGAATATAATAACATGAAATCGCTTGTTGAGAAATTATCCATTGGTAGCATTCAATTAATAAATTTACACAAGATCACGAGACCACCTTCTTTTCAGACGCCTCGGAGAGTTATCAGAGATCGAGGAGGAAGCAAGATTTGAAATGAGAGGGTTCGAATGGTACTTAAGTTTGTTATGGAAGGATAGGTATCTGGATTGGACCATTAAACATATGAAACATTAAAATCATTATGGATGATTTTATTTGTGACAAAGTAAGGAGCGTTGAGGATTTTGCGAAGGATTTTGGATTGTAAGGATTGGATACGAGAGGAATTCGATAGTTTAGTGGAGCCCTAAAGCCCAATTCCATAAGTCCGAATAGGTTTTATTGTTGTCATATATACGAGTAGTTTGTAATTGATTGAAAGCTTAGGCTTTTGTCTAGTAAGTGCTGGAGTAGTCGGAAACAGATAATAAATAAGTTGCTAACCTTTGATATTAGCTACTATTAAATATTTTTTATATAAACATATAAAAATGAAAATATTTCTTAGGGATCTGATGAATTTATACTAAATTTTTATAATTTAATATTTAATAGTTGGCCGTTACATTCTAAAGGAAGGAGATGGTCCGGGGTGGCGGTCATAAATAGGCTAAATAGTGCTAAAACTATTTTTATTAAAAGCCGACCCGACTTTGCAGGTCTTCTTCAGGGCTAGAACGGACAAGATACAAAAAGATACAGATGCAGTTACATAATATTTAGAAAAAATGTACAAACAATGTGAATAAGCTTATTGACATTATAAACAGTAAGTACATTAAAATATGAACAAAGTAAGCTAAGTAACAAGATCATAAAATGAAGTAAATAGATGTTAACAATTATTGTAATGTGATATATAGTAAATGTAAATGTGAATATACTTCTACAGATTCACATTTATTTACAGATATATTCACATATACATTTACTATATATCATATTACAACAATTGTTAACATCTATTTACTTCATGTTAGGAACTTGTTACTCAGCTTACTTTGTTTATATTTTGATGTACTTACTGTTCATAATTTCAATAGCTTATTCGTATTGTTTATAATGTTTTTCTAAATATTGTGTAACTGTCATAAGTCTGTATCTTTTTGTATCTTGTCCGTTCTAGCCCAGAAGAAAACCTGCAAAGTCGGGTCGAAACGTCGGCTTTTAACAAAAATAGTTTTACCACTATTTAGAATATTTATGACCACCACCCCGGACCATCTTCTTCCTTTAAATTTTTATGATTTCGATTTGAAAATGGTATTCATTTGAATAATAATATCATCAATTCGGAATTCGCACATTTCATTCCACAATACAACAGCTACACTGAGTCAGAGATTTCCTTTCTATGGCACTTAAGCTTAAACAATATGCTTCTGGGACACTTTTAGATGTAACCAAAGTGTTTGATTGTATATGGCAGTAAGCTCTTGTTTTTAAACTGAAATCCTTTCTTATAAAATGCTTACAATTTAATTGTAAAATAATTTCTCTACCACCGTGTCTTCTCTATCTTTCAAGGTTCTATTTTGGCACCACTTCTTTACTTAATATACACATACGACTTACTGACACACGATGGTGTTCTAACTGCGACTTTAGCCGATGATAATGTTATTATTATGAGAAACTCAGCTCCTATGCATGCTTCTCTGACTTTAAAACGCAACCTAGATAAAATAAATGAATGGTGGTGGAAATTCAAAATAAAACTGTATCATGTCAAGTTACAATTACACTACGATGCGAAACCTGTTCTCCAGTTTACATAAATAATCATTTGATATCACCAAGAAATATAGTAATGTACTTGGAACTTACTTTTGAAAAAAGGTTGACATGGGAACCACAAATCAAGACAAAACGTAAAACGCTAAATTTCCGATTGAGACTATTTTATTTTATATTACACAGGGTGTTGTAAGAAACTGACCATTCGCCGTTAGTTTGAAAAAAAATTGCATCTAAAATAATTATTAGTTTCTGCGTAGTGACCAATGGCAGGAATAATTAATTTTACTTTTTTATCCAGAGGTGAAACCATCACATCCATTTCGTACTGCAGTGATATTGATATAATTCATCAAAAAATTGTTTAAAAAAACAACCTGCATTGGTCAATCGAAAGGAAATTATACGACAATGGCATACCTCAAGTTTCACGACAGACAGTGAAAAAATTAAACGAATTCTGTTAATAAGTCGTTCTAAACACACCTTATTTGACAGACTTATCTCCAATAGATTTTCATCTGTTCAGACATGTATACAACTTTCTTAAAAGTAAAATTTTTGAAAATGATTTTCAAGTCAAAAACGTATTGTTTCACAAAACCGTGCATTCTTCAGTTCTGAGAATTGAAAAGTTGATAACACGTTAGAGAAAATGAGGATAAATATTTTAAATGAAAATATTTTGATTTCATAAAGTTGTTTTGCTAAATAACCTCTTCTGTGAAAACTGCATTTCATATAAAACGACCAAATAGAAGAAACAAATTTCATCTCTTGCACTTTTGAATTCTAACTTCAACAAATCAGTTTTTGGTTTTTAATTTTTGGAGACTCATTTTAATGAACCTATAAGTTTAGTTGACATGGATTTAGCAACTTTTGCGTACCATGGGTGTTGTGAATACGCAAATATATGTACAGGTAAAGTACTGTACATTACTTGTATATTATACCTGTGGTAGTCTATGAATCGAGGAGCGTCCATTGTGATATTCTTCAAACTGACTCTGGTTAGAATTACTTCAATGGCTTCTTGTTCTATAATTGATGGCGCCCATAATTGATATGGCACCGCCTACTAATTGAAGGGTAACTTAAAAAATGATGATATCCTGTGCCTTGGCGATAATATAAAATTGATCTGATCGCCTTCACTAATGACAGGTGTTAATATTTGATCAGCTGATAGCTGCTCTCTAGCTCAACCAGTGCTCAATGCTTTCATCGATCTTGTTCGGGATTTCCTTCCTATCTTTATTGTAATGATAGCTTGTCCAGATCTCTTCTGCTGGAATTCATGGAGTGTGAGTCATATTAGACTAGTTGGCCAGTGCGAATAATATGCGTGCTGTATTAGTCAGTGAACAAATTGGAATATGTTATCTTTTTTTTTAATAATTGGTAATTGGTTGACTGTCGTGGATAATGAAGAGAAGAATAGTTGGGGTGCTCAGTCAAAAAGGAAGGCAAAAAATAAATTATAATATTTATTCCTTACATATGCCGACGTTTCGACCTGCTTTTATTTCTTTCTTATTTCAGCTTCCTCAATTTCTTCCCTCCTTCCTTTCATTCCTTTTCTCTTTTTTTAACTCTTTATTATATTATACATTGTCTGTACATCTTGATAGACTTTACAATATCTCAATTTTCTATCTAACTACTCCATTCTCAATGTTTTATTTTTACTATTTATTTTATTTTCATTTCTTATATAACTTTATATTTCTTTTTTATGTTTTTACATTTTATTCTAAGATTCCCAATGTAACACTTTTGTCACCCCTTTTTGATTATGCCTACTTCATCATTCCACACTATGTAACAGTTTTTATTATTTATCTCTTAGTTCTTAGTCATTATTCTAACAATTTCATTTTACTTTATATCTATCTATTTTATTTTTCTAATATTTTTTTATTTATTTTATTTTCTCATTTTTTATTATCTTTTTTACCATCATTACTTATGTTTCTCATACCTTATTATCTGGTTATTTTCTTAGCCCTGATAAAGGCCTGAACTTCAGGTCGAAACGTCGGCATATGTAAGGAATAAATATTATAATTTATTTTTTGCATTCCTTTTTGACTGAGCACCCCAACTATTCTTCTCTTCGTTATCTTTTTTGTTTCTAACAACCTAAAAAGTTTATTTGATTAAATTATATATATATAAGTATAAAAATACAAATATATACAAATAACAAAGTCCTTCCACTGCCCAAGGGCATTTCAAGGATTGGGGCCTAGCTAAGGGTAACATATGTGGCATATGGCCTTGTAACTTTCATTGAACGGGGAGGGACCGTAAGGAATATAACATAATATTTTTAACCCCACAAACAGTTTATTTAATTGAATTACAAATATAAGTATAACAATACTAATATATACAAATAAAAAAGTAGTTCCACTGCTCAAGGAGATTTTAAGGATTGGGGTTATATAATATAATATGGAAAAACTAAATTTAATATACTATAGTTGGAAATTGCTTAAGTGAGAAACAAATACAAATTTTTATAAAATACTAGCTTCACCCGGCCACGCGCTGCTGTGGCTTAGCCTGGCAAAATGAAAAAGAAAGAAAATAGAAATCACATATGAGTAGATTAATAGCAAAGGAAATCTGTCTTAATTAAAAAGTTGGGAAACAAATGTGTCCGTAAAATGGCTTCAATTTAAACTGATTCTAATGATTTTTTTTCTCGTGATTCAAATTGGACATTCATAATCATCTGAGTGAATAAGCCGTCATTCATAATCATCGGAAACAGTCTGAACTTACAAAACTAAAATAAAAAATTAATATAAAGAACGTATAATAGTATTGACCTACATAAGAAGAATCATATAACATCTTCAAATGATAATTTGAATTCTTTTAGTAATTATAAAATTTTCGAATAATCAATAAAAAAAAAAAAAATGCTTGCCTACCTTCGGTAGTGAGGAAGCAAAAGGAAATAGCCTTTTTCCGAAGAGAAAGCAGTAAATGTTTATAACTCTATAACTCTGCAACGAACCGTCCGATTTCGATCGATGTCAAAAATTCTGTACTTTTTCAGTTATCGTCAAATAAAATATTGAATTCATCGTAACATTTTTCAGCTTGTTTTCGGAAAGTATATTATACACATAAATTAAAACGGTTTCAAGCAGAAGACTTCAGCCAAGTTTCGCTATATTCAGTAAAGCCGTTTTGGCGCTACAGTTTATAGCGACACATTTTTTTGAGGCTTTGAACAGAAAAACATTTACATTTTTATTTTTTTACATATATAAAATTATCGTAAGACAGAAGTACTATGCCACAAACCTTCCCAGGAGTGTACGGAACAACTTCCCAAAGTTTCATGGCGATCGGATGAATGGTTTAGTAATGCACTAAGGACAAACAGACAGACAGACATAGATTCATTTATATATATATAGATTTATTTTGTCCCAACGTTTTAGATCTTCATTAATTAATCGATAAAATCAAATCTAACAATCCAATTTAAATCAGGAAGAAAGTTACAAAAGTAATTTTATTTTCACTTACCTATATAGAGTGCCTCAGTTTTTAAAGGCTGAATTCTGGTGGGGGAGAGGGAAGGATGGTGATTATGAACAAATTTCCAACAAAAAGTTTATTCAACATGGGCCGATTTCGAACAGTAAAGGAAATTAAGACCAATTTAGTGTGCACAGCACCTCGAGTTGCCCGGCAACCACGATTAGCCGAAGTTTGAGTGAAAAAAAAGTTCGAGTTCATATTCCGGTTCTGGAGAGGATTTTAGGTTCCCCGGCTTCATCCCCCCGCCCGGGAAAACCCCGTGTAGCCTTAAAGGCGAGGTAGGGAAGAAAAAAAAAAGTTTTTGAATAAAAAGGAATTGCTGAAGAATAGTCAAAGATAATAAAATACTAAGTATACCATCGCAAAGTAGACAAATATTTTTTAACAAAAGAGTTATGAATTTACTAAGGCCAATTATAAAAGGGACTTTTAGGATCTCTAATACGGCCACTATAAAGATATATTCTGCTCGTGTATGATTGTTTGACTGCAGCTGCCTTATTATACCTCCTTAATGTCCCTTTTATAATTGACCTTAGTAAATTTAATCACTTTTATCTCAAAAAAAAAAAATTGTCTATTTTACGATGGTGTACTTAAAATGTTAATATTTTGAACAGTTTTGAGAAATTCCTTCTTATTCAATAAAAATCGTGACCAAATACAATTGGTCTAATTCTTTTTCCGATGGAGAATGTTTGTTTTGAGACACTTTAGTCTAAATAACTGAATCTCGCGAAACGTTTAGGGACGGGTTGGTCGAACAGTTAACGAATCGGAGGCAGTGGAGACTTTATAAATAATGGGTTTATTCATAACGTTACAAATGGCATTTAAAATACAGAATAATATACTATGGATATATGAGTTGACTACATCAGTTCACTCCAGGTCTCCTACAGTGAAGAGTCTGACTCAAGAATGCAACTGTATGAGTGATTTTGGTGTGAGGATCATAGGGGTTATATGCTCAGGAATAGTAGGGGGATGAATCAATTCTGGTCGGTCTAGGAAGCGTGTGAATGAAGTTAAGAATTGATATCCTTATCTTTTAGAATTGATATTAAGTCTGTGAGAAAGTGCTCGTTTGTTGAAAACGGTTATTGTTCCCTAAGTCTTGATAAGTGTCTTCTGTCCAGTCGGTACATTATAGATAACTATTTCTAAGCTATCAGAGATAGCTTGACCTGGCTATTTAGGGCTTTGATAAAGGTTATGAGAAAGGTCAATGAATGATTAGATGATTAAATTAAATAAAAGTTAATATTAATAGTTGTTACATATTAAATCCATTCCGTGTGGGCGGGGTAGCCGAATGGGCTAAAGCGTGTGCACTGCACCGCCGTTGCCTGGCAACCTGACATATGAATACAAAGATATAAAAATAGTCACGAGTTCGCGTCCCGGTGCCGGGGGAGTCTTTTAAATCCCCGCCCACACTCCCTGGCCCGGGAAAATCCCGTATAGCCTTAACGGCGAGGAAGGGAAGGACCCAAAAAAAAAAAAAAAAAAAAAAAAAAAAAAGTCCATTCCGTAACTGAACGAGCTAGTGCGTGTGCAAAATACGCGTTGCCTGGCAAATGCTAAATCGAAGATAACAAGTTCTCAATTCACCTTAGAGGGGGGATAAAAAGTGTTGAAAAAAAGTTCGTGTATACGAGAAAAGTCTAGCACAAAGGCAAAAAGTCGTACGAAACTGAAATTACGTATTTAGGTTATGTTCATAAATGCGATGTTGGAACTACTTTTCCACTAAAATCGAGAAAGTAGTGGCGACATATAAAATGAAGTAGTATATTTATGCTTAAGATGTTGGGACGTTATGATAAAATCTTGAGAGTATAAAAGTAAATATTGTAATACCTATTTAAAGAACATTTAATTTTACCCCAACATTTAGAGTTCATTCAAAATTGTTAGTTTGACGAGAAAATTGAATAAATATTTAAAATTTTTGTCACCAAGTACCATTTTCGGTTCTTCAATATCGAAGAAAGAGTTGTTGTAACATCACAGGCATATGGCTACTTTTGAAACATAATTTCAGTTTCATACATTTATTTTTTTGTTAGACTGTTAATAAACACACACACACACACAAATTTTGCAACAAAAAGAATATGTTTTCTATTTTTAGACTCAGGGATCCTCAAAACTTTTAAGGAGCCTATTGATTTCCAACCCTCGTTTGTAAATTATCGCAATTTTATAAGGAAAATTTTTACTCAATTATAATATCGACTATGATGTTTAAGATATTTTATCATTACAGTCCGTGGTACACACCCCTTTTAATCAAATTATTAACATTTTCCTAAAAATTCGTATATGCCTTTGTCTTACCGTAACGTAAATTTTTTTAATTTATGATAATACTCAGAAACAGTGCGTTTTCTCATTAAATTACTTAATTTGATTAGGTAATAAAAACTCATAAATACGCATTTGCTTTCCACTTGAATCATAAGATAATTTAAAGCGGATTTGGTTGGGTGTTTAGTCCAACAAATAAAGAGTAAACATAAATAAATGATATCTATTTTTATTTTTGCAGTTCAGCTCAAAGTTCAAGTCTTTACCAGGGCTAAAAATTGGGCCTAAGGGTCGGCAAAAAAAATTAATAAATACAATTTATTTATTTATTTTTTTTTTAACTGAAAACCCCAACCAACTTCTCTTCAATTCTCTACATTAAACCGTCAATATACTATATAAGATAATATGATCCCAAAATCGAAAGGAAGTGGCCTACAAAAAATATTGAGCCGTTTAGCGTGACCTCCACCACCCCAACATGTCAAAATAACTTATAAGTTACATAGAACAAACCGCTCGATATTTTTGTGTGCCACTTTTTTTGTTTTTTCGATTTTGTAATCAAATTATCTTGTTATTGGTATGGAAAGTAAATGGGTATTCATGAGTTTTAGTGTCTAATTAAATAGGCAAAGTTTACCAATCTCCAGAATGAAAATACTCCAATTTCGAGATTTTTCGATTCGAGATACAAAAGTTGTAGGCTACGATAAGATGAAACTATTCACGAAGTTTTAGGCGGACAGGGGTGCTCATGCTTTCCCCTCTCCCCAAGATCCAAGACTCATGAACCTATCCCCCCCCCCTCCTCCCAAGATTTTCTTATCTTTTCTTAAAAACAGAGCAAGTTTAGTTGGAATTAAAAAAATCGTTGATCATATACAATTAAACTTGTTGCGGCCTGTTTCAGAAAATTCCTTGCCCCTTACTCCGAAAATTCATTTTCGTTGAAAACTCAGATTCGAAAATTTTCACGATCGCAATACTTTCTTTGCCAAGTAGAGGTAGAAAAGTAAAAACAAAAAAGTAAGTGAAAGTAGAAATATAGTTAATAAGTTATTACTTTTTGACACTGGAAAATATTCCTATGTATCTGTATTAAGCAATAAAATGTATCTGTGCCTTGGCAAACTTAAACGGATTAAGGTTAAATGCTGCAAAAACTCAGGCCATTGTCATTGGTTCCATGCCCCTTCTTAGATCCTATACTGACTTTCCGATACTAAACCTTGGTGACCAGCCAATCTCCTTCTACTCCACTGTCAAAAATTTAGGATTATTTATTGACAAAACCTCTCCTGGAATCACCATATTTTTCACATCTCCTGACGTACAATTTCTACCCTCAAACTATTCCATCGCTTCCGCCATCTCCTACCTCAACATACGCGTAGACTCCTGGTTTCCTCTCTCATCTTCCCCCACTTTGACTACAGCTGTGTGGTGTATGATGGATTCTCGGTGAAGCTCCGTGACAGATTGAAAAGATTAATGAACAGTTGCGTGAGATTTGTAATTGGTGCCACGAGATACTACCATGTTTCTCACCACTACACTGAGTTAGAGTGGCTCTTCCCCTCCATTCGAAGACAGTATTTCCTAGGTACATTCCTAGGATCATCATATCATCATATCATCAACAATCATCGTCCTTCCTACGCCTACAACCTTCTCCAATTCAAGTCCTCAGTCCACTCCCTTTCGAAAAGATCTCGATCTTCCGACCTTTATATTCCTTCTCACAGATCTGCCTCGTTCCAAAACTCCTTCATAGCTCGCTCTGTTAAATTTTGGAATTCCCTTCCTATCAAAATTTGGCATTCTTCATCCCTGTCTACATTCAAAACCCTCCTATTCCAATTCCTGTACCAAAAACAGTCAGATACCCGCTAACCGTGTATGAAAAACTACACATTATTCATAATAATGCATTTACATATAGCTCATTACTGAAATTCTTATTAGCAGATTCGACTTTTTTTTTTTTTCTAAAAGTATATATTTATATTTTACAATTGTACAGTTTTAAATGTCTTGGCAAGGTTCAAGAGTTTTGTATATAGATTTTTTTTTTAAATTTTGTATGTAGTGTGTAAAACTAATATTTTCTTTACTGATTTAGCTTTAATTTTACTTTTTATGTTTCTTTTTATATGGCCAGATACAACATTTTAATTTTGTAATTTTTTTGTTATTCTGAAGGGACTTCGTCCCAGAATAAAATTATTTGCTATTCTATTCTATTCTAAAACACAGATATCCCTCAACATATAGTAAGGCATTACTGAACTCGCTCAAGAAATATTATTGGTACAAAATTGGTCTTGTTTGTAGTTCTTTCTCTTACTAGAAGTATAACGGCATATCTGGATATTATTATGTTTATTCAAAATAACAATAAGTTCCTTACTATATTATCCGACCAGACTATAAGTGCATGAAGTTATTCTCTTCCTTTTATCGTTTCAATAGTTCGTAGAAGGGTATAAAAAAAAAATACAGTGTTTTAATTTTTTTTCTCATTAATGCTTTATTGAGAAATATTACATTCTGCTATTTTCAAAGACACTAGTTATAGTGATAGTGTAGTTCATTCACACTCTATGTACAATAAATAATAGTAAATTAAAGAACAAAATAATAATACTACAAGTAAATGAACATAAACAAAAGGAGAAAGTACGGCAATACTCTACCAAATATACAAAAGGACCTTTTTGGGGTGAAAACCTGGATTAGTAGTACTTCGTGACGATTCTTTTGGAGAGAATCACTACCTTTTGCGTTTTGGATTATAATATAGGACCCAGGGGCGCCTAACCCTCTCAAGATCGATGACGCATGGTTCATCTCCCCTCCTAAGATATTTAATTTCTCTTCTCTTTTTAAAAACAGTGCAAGCTAAAGTAAAATTTTAAAAATCATATGTCATACAATTACACTTTCAGTGGTATGCACTATGTACTTTTCCCTAGTTTGTGTGATGTGAGCAACAGATTTTCTTACTTTCACTTAGTTATATTTTTTCTCTCATTCGCCCCTTTCTAACACTACGATATGAACCCGTAATCTTAAATTGGAAATTGAATAGCTGTAACTTCGTTAATAGTTGTCAGAAATGAACGATTTTTATACAGTTTTGTATGGAATTTCATTACCCCATACTTAGTGATTTAGGCCCCAAAACATTTCTGTTTTTTAATAACTTTTTTTTCCAGTATTTTTTAGGCATTTTAGTCTATATACGAAAATTAAAAGGACAATTATTAGAACATTATAGGAAAGTTTCATCAAAATCTTTAAAGCCGTTTTTGCGCTTTAGCGTTTTTCATTTATTGCGCAAAAGCTATTGCGCATGGAGCATCCAATTTGTGTCATAAGCTTCAGTAGTCAAAACCCTACAAAATAAAAAAAGAAGCAACAAAATCGGTTCAATAGTTCTCGAGAAAGTCTTGGCACAGACAGACAGATAGACAGACCAATGGCTAAAAATGTGTTTTTCGGACTCAGGAGGCTATGAAACGTATAGATCCGTAAAAACCCGCATATCGGAAATTTGACTCGATAGCAATGCTTTCCTTACCAAATATAGGTAGGAAAGTAAAAAAAAAAATAGCGATAAACCTAAGTTTTGATCAATTTATTTATACAAGAGCAATTGATAGGAACGTCAATTAAACACAACAAAGTTTATTAAAATCTACCTGATAAAGGTGAGATAAAATTGTTATCTATAGCGGGTCCATTAACTGTGAGTGAGTTTAAAACACCTTGGAACAGTCGATAACCTGTCTTACGACGTCATCCAAGACGTTCTGGACTGTTTCAGAAGTTGATGCCATGGATTTGCACCCTGGAAGCCGTATCTGTGCTGGAGGCGTGAAGATACCTTTCCTCAACATTGGTACCTGGAAGGTGAGTCACAATAACCGTTGTAGGATTCTCTACGAAGTTTAAAATGAAGTGTTAACTTTCATTTTTTGGTATTCAAATATATTTAATTTTAAATTTTCAATTTTGGTATGAATTTGTTTTCATTTTTTGCTTCCTCACTACCGAAGGTAGGGGAGTTTTTATTCATGTGGGAGATTAAAATATAAATTGCACTCTAAATCAAAATATTCCACTCGCGTTTTAAGTTTCAGATATCAAGGATCAATTTTGATCCGGTTTCTATCTGTCGCTGCCTGTAGTGAAATCGATGTAAACTGTTTATCCGATTTTCATGAAATGTTGAAGGATTGTGTAGGTTGGTGTTTAGATGGTTCCATAAAATCCTATCCAACACTTACGCTTATGCACGCGCAAATTTATTTTCTTAGATATGTCCATATTTCAGAAACGACTTATTCGATTTAGCTATAAATTGTTTGTTCAATTCCATCAACTACTGTCTCTTAAATATGCGCAAAAGTATTTTATCCGATAAGCTAATATCTCTTAATACTCCACTTTCTATTTGGGCCAAAATTAGAGAGAAGTTAAGGATTGATAAATTATTGATCAAGTAGGTACCAATTTTAATCATATTTTATCCACAACTGTCAGTTTTGCTTTCGGATCTACAAATATATCGTTTTTTATTCGCCCTTAGTTTAAAAACGGCTCGTTCACGATTTGATCCACAACTGGAGGAAATTTGGAGAATGGTGTAAAAATTGCATACTATCAATTTCATTAAATATAAGAAAATATATGGTACATTAAGGTCGTTATGGATGATTGTATTAGTGACAAAGTAAGTAGTATTGAGTCTTTTGTAAATGACTGAGAGCTTAGAGCGTTTGTCTAGTAAGTGCTGGAGTAGTCAGAGACGTCGAGCGGTTTCTTGTCATTTCAATCTGGTATGAGGATTTAAAGTTATACGTTTTCCCAGATGAAACGGTTCCTCATTATATATGTTAATTAATTGTTTTAAATGAATTTATTATACCGTTTACAAATTTTATTTTATACCACTTCGATTGAAAGCAGTGAAAGTCGTGTGAAGCATGCACTGCAAAAGACTTTTTAGCTAATCATGGAATAAAAATGATCTCAAAACAAATACGAATACGATTTTATTCAATTACTCATTTTGAATGAAAACTATTTTTTTTATTTTATTTTTAACGGTTTATAAGAAAGAACTGTTGTTTATTGTTACAAGCAGGTTGAAGGACTCTGAACGAGCCAATGTTTGCTCGAGTCAAATAATTTTTACATTTGGTTTAAAATATCTCGGAAAATAATAATTGGACTGTTAATAAGAGGAATTTCCAGTATTTTCATTCTCTTTGTAATGAGTTGTTATACAAAATTATACGTCTACCCGGCGACGTGTCAGAGATTCAAGGAAACAAACAAATGATAACGATTTTTTTTTTACGTTTGGATTGAGATATCTTAAAATTAAATACTATTGAGAATTCAGAAGTCAGAGAAATATTTACCAGAATAATTTATATACAATTATAATCCTATATATTATTTCTAAAAGGTGTTCTTTTGTCGATTTACCATAATTTTGCCAATTCTTCATCAAATCTAATGATTGACCACTCATTTTGAAGATATTCTTCTCCTTCACATTCGAAAAATAGTTCTGAATCCCCCCGAGATTTCTAGGGAAAAAGTTGAGAAGGAAAAGAAACTTTATTTGAGAATAACTCAAAAAGTGTGCAATTTTGTACCCTTAATAATAAGAAATATTAATAAATTACCTGCAGAAAAAAAATCGGACAATTATTAGCAAACTCTTTAAAGATATTGCATTTAGGAGTAGAATAGTCTACCACACTTTTTTTTCTGGCATATATATTATCTTTATTATTTCTTAAAGGCATTTGTTTGTTCTTATATTTTATTTTTTTTTAATAATTTAGAAATCCCATGATCGGAGCATGATTTTGTCTTTATTAGCAAAGCAATTTGTACAAATATTATGGTCTATTATGTTAAATGGAATATTGTAATCAATCAAGGAAATATATTAATTTCCTTCCTTACATAAAACATAGAAACTAACTATTTCCATATTGTTTTGCCATTTCTTCACTAAACGAAATTGTCTACGAATTTTTCCCACGGGCCAAATAATGGTATATATTATAAATGTCACTCCTTAGAAAACACAGAACAAAAGACAATATTTATATTTCATGTTATTAAAACGCCTTGTTGATGTTTTAAGTTTCATCGTTTGGTCTTAAGCAAACACCGTAGTTTTTTTTCTTGTTCTACACAAAACAATTAATCAGATGGTATAATAATAACCTAAAAATGAATAACATATATTTTGTTTGAAATTATAACATATGTAAAATATTTTTCTCTCGGCTCATATGGCCCATTGGAACGAACGAACCGGACATGTGTCTAATATTTTTAGATGTAGTATATTTTATATTTGTTTGAAAGCGGGGAATTTAATCTCATTATGACAGCATATCAAGTTTTCATAATATATGGGGGCGGGGTGGCCGAGCCTGGCAAATGCGTGTGCACAGCACCGCCCGTTGCCCGGCAACTCGGATCAAATATAATTAGATAAATAATTACAAGTTCGCGTACCGGTGCCCCTGGGGCTTTTAACTCTAGCATTAATTCCCCAACCTCTTTTCCTGGTCTGGGAAAACACAGTGTAGAATAAAAGGCGAGGATGAGGAGAACCACCCCCCCCAAACACACACACACACACACACATATATATATATATATATATATATATATATATATATATATATATATATATATATATATATATATATATATATATATTTATCATATTTAATGATATTGCTTCAATAATAATTACCGTGTTAATTAATTTATTTAAGTTTTCATAATATATAACAATTATTAACTTGAGGCGTCGATTAACTTGAATATCATATGGTTTCATAATAAATAAAGTGAAGGTTAGATAAGGATATTATCAACGGCACTCACAGTCCCGTCCAACCTGAATTATCTAATGCTACGTCACTACGAGCTATTATTGTCACTCTGAATGGATCTGAGAATTCCTTGTTTGGATAAAATTTATCTTAAACGTTTGAAATAGGGTCAAAGACCTATAATGGTTTACCAAAGAAAAAAATCTTCTTTGCTTTTGGCAATGATGACTATACAACAATATAATTCCAATTATACAACAACTGAATTTATTTGTTCTATTTCTAAATTACATGTTTACATGTTAACGTTTCGGGGTATTTACTCCGATCTCCAGAACTTGAATCCCAATGTTTTTTTGTTGATTCATAGCTAAAAAATTGAGTTAAAATATAGTGAATGTTACAATAAATGTCAGAATTAGGTTGTTACATTAAATTTGTAATTACCTTCATTTTTTAAATTCATGTTATAATAAATTAAAGTATATAATATCCAGAGAATCATCGTGCTTTTGGACCAATTATTGGGTATCTACCATGTTGATTAAAATTGACCTTTGGATATGACTGTTTATTTTTATACTATTGTTGTTAAATGTTTATTGTTTATGTAGCAACAATTTCATTTTCATTAAATTTTAATTTTGTTTAATATGTCAGCATAATGTGTTCATAAATGTTTGGTGTCTGTTTTATAATTTACTGTTGTTCTATTGTTTTTTGTGCTGTGTATGGCTTCAAGTAATTTTCTATTATTGTTTTTGGTTCTGTGCCTGATATCTGTGGTTTATTGAATTTATGCTGTAATCTTATGCTGTGATGTGCTAAAGCTGTTGTGTTTAGGTTTTTTGTATTTTTACAGTTAGTAATGTGTTGTGAAATTATGGTCCTTAATTGTTTGGATGTTTCACCAATGTAGATTTTGGATCAGTTTTGACGATTTAATTTATAAATTTATAATTTATATATTTATTAAAAAAGGGGAAAAAAATCTCATGTAGTAAACAAAATTATCTGGTTTTTATACGTACACAACTTTCCTATCTACTTCAAATAAATTTAAATATTCTAAACATTTTAATAATTAATAATTAAAGAATAATATTTTCGTTCATACTAATCGATAACGGCGAAGCCACACAAAGACCAACGTGTTTGGATTGCCCACTAAACGGTATGTAACGATTTTTTGAATAGATAGACTGCTTTTCATGTTTGATGACACAAATATTTCAGTGAGATCTCGTGAGTGCTTTGAAACAATTTGGACTCAAAGCATATGTTGCAATTTAGCAAAAAAAATGTATAAAATTTAATTAAAAGTGTACGTTAAAATTTATGAATGACTCATTAGCGAATAAATCTTGAGTTTCGTTTGGGAACTGAAAGGCACCTTAGACTTACTATGCCAAGTAATGAAAACTCCATCGTTGGATATCCGAGGCCTTTATCCGAGACTACTATTCTGATTTATTTGAGATTTGTTATCAAAGTCAGTGATAACCAGGATGATCCTCACAATAAATTTCTCGACTTTACATATTTAAGAAGTTTATAATACTTAGCACTGGTTGCAGAAATATTCCTAGCGTTTCTGATAACTAGAAAACTTTACATCAACAAAAGCACTCCAGATTGTTATTAAAATAATAATTCAAATCCCTATTTATTTTGAACAAAAGTTGAAAAAAAAGCCTTATTTGGTCAATTTGTATATTTAACTTTTCACCGAAGAGATAAGGATAGTAAACTGATAAGCTACACATTTTCGAATTTGGAACTTCTTTAGGCAGGTTTTGTATTTTATTTGTGAAGCGTGACTTAGATTGACCAGTCAGATCTCCGGTTCGTAACGCTAGGGTAAAGTGGAATGGACTAATTAAAGTGTTTTTGCATATGGATTAAATTATCTCAAAAACCAAAAATCGGACCTGCAGATTATTAGAAAAAGAAATGTTGATCATTTCATCCTCTTTGTAATGAGCTACTATTCAAAATTGTGTCTTAACGTGACGTCTTGTTAGGGAGGAATAGAGGAAAAAAATGGTGTCGAAAACCAAATGATAACGAGTTTTATTGAAGGTATGGATTAAAATATCTCAGAAACTAAAAATCGGATCTTCATACTATAAGCGAAAGAAATGCTCAGTATTTCAACCTCTTTATAATCAGATATTATTTATAATTTATATTTCATATTATTAATTCCACCTTTTTGATGTTTTCATTATTCATTTATTGATATCTACAACTGTATACATAAATAAATACAAGTAAAGTGATAAGCGATTTGAAATTATTTTTATTATAATTTATGAATTTTTGTAACTATTTATTAAACTATTGTCTCTCATACTACAATAATTTAATAATTAGTGATCAAAAATTATAATAATGTTAGCAACCTTAACAAATTATGGAAAAAAAAAAATTAAACAGTAAATGATCATCTTATTATCTGATAGCGACAACAGTCACAAACGCCAACCTAGTGTTGCCCAAAATCGGTCTTGGTCTTGTACTTTGCACTTCGCAAGACCAAGCCAAGGGCTTAAAAAAAAAATCGATTTTTTAAATAACAATTAAGGCAAAATAGTTACTAATATTTGACAATCTTAGTTACTAAATGTTAATAATTGGTAAAACAATATACTTTTGCATTTAACTCCTACAATTTTTCATTCGGAGTTTAGTTAGATTCTCCTATCTAAAGAATTACAGTAATATCTTTATAGTAATAGCTAATAAGTAACCGCAAGACTCTTGCGAGAGTCTTGCGCAAGACCAAGACCATGACCAAGACGGGGTTATAAGACCAAGACTTGTCTCGGTCTCGCATTTGGGCAACACTACGCCAAGCTAATGTTAAAAGATAATTTAAAAACTTTGTCAATTCTTTCTGCAGAAAATTGTTAAAAGTTTCTTTCTTCCATAACTTTTTTCCTGAAAGAATGTGCTTATTTTTCGGCAATGAAGGATAATGTTATCTTCAAAATGATGGCTAAATCACTGGATTTGATTAAATATTAAAGATGATAATGTATACCTACAAAACAGCACCTTTGCGAATTAATTTATAGGGATTAAACAAGAATTAACGATCATAAAAAAAAGAGAGAGAAAAGAAGATTACATGAGTAAGTGATAACATATAAAGTTGTTGCAAGAAATGAATATTGTTTTTTACTCTTAAAAAATTAATAGCAGAATAACAAGTAACAATAACAATTTGTAAATTCAGTGGGCATATTATTATTTTTAATTTATTTAAACTATAAAAACTTATTTTTACTTCCACTTATACAGGTTGTCTTAGTTCTTGATGGCCAAACTTTGGAGTGTAATTCAAGATAATATGTCGAACGAAAAAGTTCATTTAATGCATGGAAAAGGAGTTCAGACCAATTTCGTGTTGTTGTTTTCAAGATTGTTCACGGTTTTTATTGAATAAGAAGGAATTGCTCAAAAACTGTTCAAGATAATTAAATTCTAAGTACACCATCGTAAAGTAGATATTTTTTTGAGAAAACAATGATTACATTTACTAATATCAATGATAAAATGGAGGAGGGACGAGGGGCGTGGTGAACTCTCGCCAATAAAAATGGTGAGAGGGCGAGAATATTGTTTCATTTCAAACATATTCTTAATAATTTGGAGTAAAAATATAAACATTAAAATTGATAACAAATAAGCTGCATGAATGAATAAAATATGTAAATTAAAATCGATTAAGAAAATAAGAAAAGTCGAAAAGCTGGCTAAGTTAATAAAAAAATAAGCTAAGCCATATAAGTAGCTAAGTAACTATACTATCAACATCAAATATTCCTATTTTATAAATTTTCATTTATATTGAAGAATAATGATATAGAAACATATACTTGCATTTTATGATTCATTCACCTTTCAAGTGCACACCTCCATTCCAGGTGATTTTTTTTTTCTGCAATAAATTAGGAAACAATTTTTTGTTCGAAATTTTGTCTAGGATCAACTCCTAGAGTTCGGGCATTAAGAATTGAGAAACTCTATATATATTTATTGACATCCCCAATATTTTTGTAGAGCACCTTTTTTCGCGATTTTCGATCAAATTATCTCTTATACTTCATATGAAAAAAACAAATGAGTATTAGTAAGGATTTAGTACCTCATTAAATTGAATAATTTAATGAGAAAACGCTCCACATTGGAGATTTTCGTACATAAAAAAAGTTTTTAGGTTGCGATATGAAGAAGACATTCCCGAAGTTTTAGAGGGGTGCTAATAATTTGGTAAAAAGGTGACTATACCAAACTATTGTTTGCAATACATTTATTATTACTATATATACTATTACAATATACTTTATATAATATTACTATGCAATATATATTTACTATCCTAATTCTGTCATAAATATTGTTACAAGGAAATACATACAAATTTAAACAGACAAATTATTTGTTTCAAAAACTTTATTAGCAAATAAAATGTATATAGAGAGTAAAACATGAAAGAAATTACTGAAAACGCCTCCCTTTAACCTTGAAACAGGCATCTCTGTGGCCAATCAATAGCAGCACGCAGCACTTCTTGAGGAAAGCGCTCAACTGCTCGGACCAGAGATTGTTTGAGGCTTTCCAAGTTATGGAGTGCTCTGTGGCATGCCATCATCTACACTTTGGATCAAACCTGATAATCTAGTAGTTTGAGATCAGGGCTTCCTGAGGGCCAATCCGAGGCAGAGATAACTCTGGAATGTTCTTTTGCAGTCTCTGCTGGGTTGACCAGGCCTTGTAAGCTGGAACCAAAAAGCTTCTGAAAAACCTTATGACTTCCAGCAAACAGAGTATCATTTAGAGGCTTGACAACAGGTTCCAAAATATCGTCCTGATATTTTTAGCAGCTGCTATCAAAGCAAACGCCCCACCAAACCATCACTGAGGAAGGGTGATGACCACTTTCCACTCTTCCGATGACTTCCTGGGCTTCTTTAGAGCTGTGTGCGTACACACAATCATTTTGGCGATTAAATTTTTCTTCAATTGTAATAATTTTCTCATCGCTAAACAAATCGTTGAAGACGATTGGTGTAACAGCCAAGGAGCACTTTGCATCTATCCACTCTATTTTTTTTAGGGCAGTGGTTAGCCTTTGTCCTGTCATTTTTCGAAATGCACCCCTCCTAAGGCCCCTTTTTATTATGCGAGACATTGATCCGATAGAGATTCCCATTGCCCGAGACATGATTTGTTTTTTCGAATGGGATTTCTTTCGATTCGAGCAACCACTGCTCTCACTGCATTTGCCTTTCTAACAGTGCGGGGACGGCCCGGTCGAGGTCTGTCACATACAGACAGGGTTTCACTATATTTATTTATATTGAGGTACACGAACTTACGGCTGATACCCAAAGGTTTCAAAGTTTTAAAAATCTCAGTCCTACATTTCCCAATTTTGTATAAGACGATCACAGCTATTCGGTTTTCTTTATCACCCCAGTCCATGTCAACTGATCGAAAGAAAAAAACAAAACAAATTAACAGAGATTATTATCCTGACATGTAAAGAAAATAACCTCATACATGTAAGGATTATCTAAATAATACCCAAGGATGTAAACAAAGTTCAACTTTTGTAACAGTAAGGGCGGGGTGGCTGAATGGGTTAACGCGCGTGCATAGCACCGCGAGTTACCCGTCAACCAGATGACCTGAATATGAAATTGAAAAAAGTACGAGTTCGCTCCCTGGTGTCAAAGGAAATTTTAAATTCCCACCCTCACCCTCCGGCCCAGGAAAATCCCGTATAGCCTATAAGGTAGGGAAGAACAGAAAAAAAACTTTAATAACAGTATTTATGGCAGAACTATGTATATACAGATTTTACTCGACTGGTCAGGCTTAAACACCAAATTTTCAAAATGGCTTCTTCTAAACTAAATTTATATAGTTCATTTAAAATATTATGTGATCATCTATCACTTGTAATTAATTTAATTAAAATTCATACTTTGTAAGGCGACCTCAGAAGACCACCGAAATTCCCTTAACGTTGCTTTTGACTTGGGCTACAGGAGCATCAGGACCTGGTCTGGAGAATGTAAAACAATCGGACCTATCCTCAGAGAAATGTTCGATACCAACAAAATCAGGAGAGAAGATATTTTTATTTCAGCCAAGGTAAAGTTTATTTAGAGTTTATTTACTTAATCACATTTTTATTTTTATTTACAATTCAATATGTCAATATATCTAAATATACCTGTTCTTACCTGCTTCTGCTTTATCAAAAAAAAAAAAAAAAAAAAAAAAAACGCAGACGCTAACCAGTTGAAGTTGAATGTAGAAAAGACGAAGGCAATCTTAATAGGCTCCAATCACCTCCTTAAAACTGTTTCTAATGTTTCAACCCTTTCCATAAATGATTATCCCATCCTTAAATAACTTGAGATTTGATCATACTCTTTTATGAAAAAAACATGTATCCAATACCTACCGTGCCTTTTTCACATTAAAGTTAAATTAACTCCATTATCTATTTGTATTAGAAAGCTGCAGAAACCAGGAGATCACTCATAATATTTCTTCACTTAGACTACGGTTGTGCGATATGTGGCAGTGTCTCTGGGGGTCTCAAGGCATAACTAAAACGTTAGATAAATTGTTTTCTACGTTTCATTTTTGATATCCGAAAGGAAACCTTTGTTTCCGTTTTTATGAAGAGTTGAAGAGACTTTATCCTTCCTACCGTCGTATTTTATTTTATCCTTCCTCTTCCAAGTCATCAACTCCCGCCGTCCCTCATACATCTCCAAGCTTCCTTAATTCAAATATCCTGGAGACTGTCGAGCACGTGATCGTGACCAGCACTGCATTCGAAGAAATAAGGGCAACAATGATGAGAGCCACGGGAATTTACGTCATAACAGAGGATGAATTTCCTTCGGTTGATAAGTAAGGAGAACTTATCGCGGTTCAAGAAATTCATTTATGGCTGGAATGAGGAAGTGGGTTCAACCCTCTTCAACATTGGAGTACGGAGAAGATAACCAGCACTAAGAAGTCTTGTAACTTGTAAACTGTTTCACTTGCAGTAATGTGTTGTTATGCAGTCATACATAACTTGCCATTAATGCAAACATCCGTATGGTGTAATAGACAATGGAGTATAGCGATTAAATAAATAAATTCAAATACTGTGTTTACTCCCGCAATATCCGTTTCCAGTCTTCAGATTTATATACAACGATTTTCGAAAGATAATAGTTAAAGTTGTCAATGAGAAATCAAACACTGTCGATCTCACCTGTGGGGTACCCCAAGGAGCTGTTTTATCTCCCGTTGTTTTCCTATTATATACTGCGGAAATAGTGGCAACTAAACACCAAAATGCTTCTTTGACAGCATTTGCTGATGACATTGCTGTCTCAAGTAGCAGTGTGAATGCCAAAAAGCTATGCAGCAGGCTGAAATAGCTTGTGAAAAAATTGCAGAACAGCTAAAAATCCTAAACATAGATATTAATTCTGAAAAGACGAAAGGAATTATATTTTCATAACAAAAAAGAAAAAACAAAATGCCAAATGAATTCAAAATTAACAACAGTATTAAATTATTGACTAACTTAACATATCTCGGTATTCACTTCGACAGACATTTAAAATTCACTCGAAATTTCGACAAAAAAAAATTTAAAAAATAAGATCTAAGACGTATAGACTCCAAAATTTTATTCAGACAACAAACCTATCTTTATGCCTAAAGCTTCTAGTCTATACTAGGCTCTGTTGTATGGTGCACCTCTGTTCGAACATATCAGTAAATCAACGGTAAGAAGATTACAATATTTCCAGAATGGAATAATTAGAAAAATTGTAAGAGGAACCACGCTGCAGAGAAAGAAGACATTGGATATACACTGAATTTATCAACAATAAAAGAATTTCTAGCAAAAACGAAAAAAATCATTTTTCGAAAAATCCCAACAATTGACAAAAACTCATTTCAACAACTTATTACCAGCCAAAATTTCGAAACGTTGGCAACAAATCACATGAGATAGATGTTTTATTAATTTAGTTGTAAGCTCTAGAGGATAAGGTCAACTCAAGCCTGAGGTGAGCCCCATCACCTTTTGTATTACAGATGGAGAACAAAATACTCAGAAACAACAAAACAATAAAAAATACACTTTACAATGTTCAAGCAGTAAAAGAACTATTATGAAGACAATGAAAATTCAAGGAATCAAGACAAAAATAAATAAAAAGGGCTGTGGAAAAAAAAATAATACTGTCCCACATTTAAGAAAATACAAACAAGAGACTTCAGCGATTCCAAAATGGAATTTCAATCATAATAGCTAAAAATACATCATTTGAAAAAGAAAAATCAGATAAACTTGACGTGTTCTTAAATTTTTCCAGCGTATCTGAATTCATATAGAAAAGAATAATAAAATTCAATGTTTTTTTTAAATATTTAACCAATGGAGAATTAAATACGATAACATTTCCGCCGGCTCCTTGGCGATGGCAAAATATAGATGTAAGTTAGATTATAAGATAGTCCTAAGAAAATTATGAAGATAGAGGTGAGCCACATTAAGCAGATTGAAAGTCAAGAAATTAAGATAAACAGAACCAAGAAAGGCTCAGTAAGACCTTAAGATGTCTCTGAGATACAGCATAAGGAACATCTTAAACATATGTAATAAACGAAACCATGTATGAAACTGGGGATAAGAAAAATAATAAATAAATAAAAAAAATTAAAATAAAGATCTTGTTGTAATATACTAAAATAAAGATTTTTCGATCATCATCTATATATAACTCAATCCCTTTCTACATTCGTCGCTCCAATTCTCAACTCTTAAATACCGCCTATTCAATCACTTCCTATTCATCCCAATAAATTATAAATTGATGCTTCTGTAAATATTTGTATGCAAATTATTAGTTCCTTCTTAATTATTATTATTTCACGTTTCTTTCATTTTTTATTGATTAAAGTTATAATTTTTATTATTTATATTTATTTATTTTTATATAGCTTTGAGGCTCAAAAAAGCTATCTTATTTTATTCTAAAGGGACTTGTCCCAAAATAAATAAGGCATATCATCATTATTATTTTTGATTGATTATTCTAAATCTTTTGTTCAAGCTCCCTTCGGTTGGTAATAGATATGAAGATGTGGAAGATTTTATGAGAAGATCTCTCGATTCGCTACAACAAGATTATGTAGATTTGTACGAAATTGGTTCACCGATAGGCATGATTAGAAAAGGAGATTCATTTGTCCCTCTTGATGAAAATGGAGATATTCTATTGGATATGAAAACAGATTTTGTGAATACCTGGAAAGTAATGTAATTTCTTTATTTTTTTAACTAAGTCCATTTCTGTCCCATAATTTAGAAAGGTCTATCTCCAACTTTTTTTTATCAAAAAATGGGATACAAATTTTTTACCCTACATCAAAATTTTAATGTTTGCAGATGTAATATTTGTCATAAATAGTTAATAAAATTGCGGTGGTTGTGATTTTTTGATACAATTGGTTGGTGCAATTTTAAAAATCCATTTTGTTTTCAAAAATCCCATTATATTTAGAAAACTGTTGGAGTGAAGGCCTTTTTATTTATGAGGGCAGATTATTATCATAATTTGTTTATTAATTAATTGTTTTATAATGAATGAGAATGTTATTTGTATATGTATTAGAAGAGGACCAATCTGATTACAAAGGTTTCACTATTGGAATAAATTATTTCAAATAATATTAATATTCAATCACACTCACATAAATATCCAGAATACATACATACATGTAGTGTTTTGGTTTCTATTAACATTTAACTCCATTAGCCTCTGTTTATGCAATAAACTAAGTTTTAGGGGGAAAAAAACTTTGTTAAATTAAAAAACGAATGAAGCATATTTATAGTAAAACGAAGTCATTCATTCACCTTTTCTGTTAGCATAAGAAAATTTATTACATTCAGTGATAGGTACCCCTTCACTTTAGTGTCTCTCCTTCAGTGAATCAAGCTGTAGTAGTCGGTAGTACATTCTTTTGATACATTTAGCTTTATTTTGCACGTTTCGTGGTCACTGCACGAGTTTGGAAAATTTAAGAATTTTTTACTCAAAATTATATTTTAATTGATTTTTAAAGTAGTAAATATAAAATAACAGTTTTTACAAAATCCCCAGGTAGTAAATAAAAAGTTATTAATTATCCTTTATTCGTCTCTAAAGCAGTAATAAACTGTGAATGAGGATAAGATTCTCTATGGCTGCGCTGTATATTCAACAAATTTGAATAAATTTATAGAATTAATAATGATGATGTAGGGATGGTTGACCGTGATATAATACGAGAAAGAGTTGATCGGGGTTTGCGGTAAAATAAATAATAAATTATAGAAATCGTATTATTTAATTATTTTGCCAACGCTTCGACCCACATTTCAGGTCTTCATCAGGGCTACAAAAGATACAAAAAAAGTGAAAATAAAATAAATGAATATAAGTAGATATAAAATAAGAAGAAGTTGTCTGATAAAGAAGTAAAAATATGATATCATAAATATATAGTGGGTGACAATATAGTTAAAATATCAAGTATTATACACTGACAGGCAAAAAATTCCACCCAATTGTTACCCATTAAGGAACCACGTTGGAAAGGTTGGCTCTGGGAAAAATTACAGGCTGCATATCTTTCGTTTCTTCTTCTCCACACCCTTTCACGCACGTCTGGAGATCGAAGAGCGAATCTTGACTCATCTGTAAAAAGTACAGCACTCCATTCGTCCATAGTCCAATGGCTGTGTTCTCGAGCAAAAGCCAGCCGTGTTACTCTGTGAGTTCTGGTCAACTCTGGTCCTCTTACTGGACGAAAAGCCATTAATCCATACTCATTTAATCTTCTCCGAGCGGTACGTTCAGAAATTTGCACACCTCGAACTTCTTCGAGCCGATGAATCGGTTGAACAACGGTAAGTTGCCGGTTTCGTAAAATTCTCAAAGTCAAAAACCGGTCATCCCCTGGTTCTGTTACCCTAGGCCATCCAGAACCGGGCCTTCTATTGTAGGAACCAGTTTCCTGAAAACGCCTGACGGCATCTCGTAAAGTTTCATATGGAACTCCGATGGCATTAGCTGCATATCTAATGGAAAGTCCATCATCAATAAGTGCCACACCACGCGCAACATCCTCAGCACAAAGAGGCATTTTTAAACTTAATATTGAAACAATTAAAAGCCGGAGACTAAGAAATGTGCTGCAAGAAACGGCACTGAACTAATGATACTGAATAAACATTTGGATTCCATAGAAAGTAAACATTGGAATCTAGAATCATTTCATTGAATTAAGGATTAAGGGTTATTGTCCTCTATATTAATATGCCTAATTGAAAACAAACAAAAAGATTACCTATTTATTCATTGAAAACAATAGACCAATCCAAAACAGAAATATTTTTAGATGAAAACATGAAAAAATCAAGTGGGTGGAATTGTTTGCCTTTCAGTGTATATATAGAAGATACAAACAAAAATGAAAAATAAGTATGAATAAAAATAGAAAACAAAAGAGAATATAGCATGTAAGTTAAAAGTAAACAGATTGCGATAAAAGATAAGGAGTGAGTGTATAACAAACTAATAAAGATTACATTTGATAACTGTAGGTTAACAGATAAAGAAAATGAAATAGTACAATATCAAAACTTATTCAATTTTCAATCTCTTTATTCGTTAACATTCATTTTCTTTATCTGTTAACCTATATAATTAATACTTGATATTTTAACTACATTGTCACCTATCATATCTCTGATATCATCTTTTTATTTCTTTATCAGAAAACTTTTTCTTATTTTATATCTACTTATATTCATTAAATTTATTTTCACTTGTTTTGTATCTTTTGTAGCCCTGATGAAGACCTGCAAAGTGGGTTGAAACGTCGGCAAAATAATTAAATAATACGGTTGGTATAATTTAGTATTTATTTGACCCAAACCCCCGATCAACTCTTTCTCATATAGAATTATTCTCATTAGAGACTTTTGAGATGGAAAAATGGAAATGCTTGCTAAAAAACAAAAGTAAAGAATTAGAAAAAGACTTTTAACAAATTAAATAAAAACAATTTTAGTTATAAAATTACATTTTAAATGGAAAACAAATCTAATGTTGATGCTGTACCCAATATTTAACGCTCATATTAATAATTCCAAAGTAGATGTAGAAAGGGAATTTTATTTTTTAAAACATTGAGGATAGATCATTAGAAATAGATATATCTCTAAACTTTAATAAAAACAATTCATTTTATTGTTTCTAGGAGTGTTAAAACAATTTTTCATCTTTTCTTATTTTATTAAGTATTTATAAATTAAAAATTATTAGTTTACGAGCGTTTTATTTTTCAATACATCATGTTAATAAAAAGTATCAAGTTGTTATCCTTTATTAGATCTTTTTGCACTTTTATTAGTACTTAATACACGTTTTTGCATGTTTTAAGTTTTTTATTTCACGTTTTAAAGGATTTTACAGCACAAAAATCCGGTCTATGGTTATATTTGTTTATTATTTTCAATAATGAACCATTGTGACCTACCAAAAAATTCAAAATCTTAACCTCCCCTCCCAAAATTTGAGGTTTTACGTTTCAGGATACATAGAATTTGAAAAACGAATATAAATTTGTTTGTGCGTCCGCCATCCGCGCATTTATTCGAAACTACTGGACAGATTTTTTTCAAATTTGGATATAAAATCAGAGGTCACTCAAGGACGATGCTCATTCATCGACATTACTATCCGCCTTTTACTTTCAAAACGGAGGCCGAAAAACTTGCGTTTCTATAGACTGTAGCGCCTAAACGAATGTACCATTTTCAATGAAACTTCGCTAAAGTCATATTCTCAACATCGTTTAAATTTATCTCTTTAACATAATTCAACGAAAATAAGCTGGAAAAAAAGTTACGAGGGATGGTAAAATTAAATTCCGTATAACTCAACAAGTATACATTTTTTTGTGGTTATTGTGATAAAATGTTTCGAAGGTATTTAAATTACCTAAAAAATTAAGGTTTCTTCGAAATCAAACCACTATTAGTAAATATATCGCGATTTTTTAATATTTTTGGTTTATTACCCCCTCCCAAAATTTGAGGTTTTACTTTTCAGGATACGTAGAATTCGAAAAACGAATAAAAACTATTTTGTCCGTCCGTCGTCCGCGCATTTTCTCCAAAACTATTGGACCGATTTCTTTCAAATTTGGATTTTAAATTAGAGCTCACCCGAGGATGATCCTCCTTCAACAACATGGTTATTTAAAAGTTTACGGAATTTCCTAAAAAATCGTTAAAATCGGACAATTAGAAGCAAAGATATGGTCTCTAGATGTTCTTTATATGTTATACTTCTAAGGTTATATCCTTTGTTTTGGTTTTTGTTTTTGAAAGTGTTTCTGAAGTAATGCTATTTTTTTTAGCATATTACTAATGATTAAAAAAAAAAGTTCAGTCCAATAATTGGAATCACCTTTTATTTATTTTTCTTTGTAACTAGGAAGGTTACTTCAGATGTATAATTGTTTGGAAATAATGAACCATTGTGAAATGATTTGCAGCGTTTTTTAAATAAATATATGTTTTTAATAATTACTGAAATTTCTTATACTATTTTGTCGAGTTTGAATAATTATAAACTATTTTTAGAGAATTATCTACTAACATAAATATAAGAAGAATTAATCATTTCAGGGAATGGAAGAACAGGTTATTGCTGGTCGTGCTAAGAGTATCGGCCTGGCATGTTTTAATCAGAGGCAAATCCAACGGATTCTGGACCATTGTACCATCAAACCTGCAAATCTTAGTCTAGAGCTTCATGTTTACTGCCAACAGAAAGAACTTGTCTCATTCTGCAAAAATAATGGAATGTCAGTGACAGCGGAATTCCCTTTTGGATCCCCAGGATTGCAACAAGTCTTAGGCGGATTTGAGGGAGATAAGTTAGTAAAATTACTAATTGTTTGGTTCGCTATAATAATACATAGTTAACGGCAATTTAATAACCGTGGAAACAAGATCACTAATAAAAATATGTGCAAAATTATTGTGTGAAAAACTAATATCTCGAAAATGAACATTGAAGATAAAGTCCTAACACTTTAAAACTTGATTGCCTATTAGCATAATTTATTGTTATGGTTAGATGGTTGACTGTATTGAATAATTGAATAAAAGATTGATTGTAATCTTCGGTAAAAAAAAAATGTAAAAATAAATAATAATAAAAGGTTTAATGAACCCGAAGGTTCGATGCCGACATCAGCAATCGCTTATTACACACCTCCCTCCATCGTTCGCCGTCCAAACCTAGTCCCTTCAGATCGGCTTTAATGCAATCTTCCCACTTTCGTTTCGGTCTATCCCTCGGACGTTTACCATTCGGTACAGCAAATATTAACCTTTTAGGAATTCTCTCGTTACTAAGCCCAACAACTTTACAAGAGTTCTTCTTCTCAACAACTTACACCTTCAATCATATTACCCGGATACAGTTCACGCAATTCGGCGTTGTGCAACCGTATGAATTCTGCAGTTAATTCATCCTTCTTCGGTCCGAATATTCTACGCAATACTTTATTTTCAAAAACCGTAAGCCGTTGCTCATCCCTTAATGTAAGCGTTGCATAAAGAACTGTAGGTAAGACAATGGTTTTATAGATTTTAATTTTTAAGTTGCGGGACAAGAGGCGCGAGCTAAGTAATTAATCACAGAAAAATAACAAGCATTTCCCGCCTTCAGCCTAACCTTAATCTGTTCTTCAATTTCGTTTTTTCAAGCTAACGTAGACCCTAGATACCTAAACTTCTCTACATGTTCAAACTTATTGCCATCTATATCAATATCACCAGTAATATTATAATTTTCATAAAATAAAATAAACATAATTATAATAATATAATAAATAAATATAATATAATATAAATATAAATAAATAATTATTTTTTTGTAAAAATGAAATAAATTATATTTATTTTCATTTTTGCCGATGTTTCGGTCTAAAGTTCAAGCCTTCATCAGGGCTAAGAATATATAATAAATAGTGTTGCCCAAATGCGAGACCGAGACGAATCTTGGTCTTGCAAACTCAGTCTTGGTCATGGTCTTGGTCTTGCGCAAGAGTCTCCCAACACTTGTAGTTACTTATTAGCTTATTATTATAGAGATATTACTGTGATATTTTAGATAGGAGAAACCTAACTAAGACCGAACGAAAAATTAGAGGAGTTAAATGCAATAGTATATTGGTTATATCAATTATTAACATATAATAACTAAAATTGTGGAGTATTAGTAACTATTTTGCCTTAATTTTTATTTAAAAGATAATTTTTTTTACCAGTCCTGTTCTTGGTCTTGCAACAGTTAGGCGGCTTTGGTATCGATCTTGCAAAGTGCAAGACCAAGACCAATTTTGGGCAACACTAATAACAAAGGCCTATAAAAAAATATATGAGAAACTATTGACATTAAAAAAAAAAATATTTAGGTGAAAGGTATAGTTTAAAAAATGTAGATAAAATAAACTTAAAGTAATATAAATTAGGTGGAATAAGAAATATAGACCAATGGAAAAAAAAAATTATATGACGGGGGAGAGAGGTGCTTTAGCCCAAAATCCACCTTCTTATAAATCCGCCAGCGCAATGTCTTATTTGTTTAACTTACTTTATTAATAAACGTTAAAGAAGATAATTTTTATAAGTTAATCTTCGAGGTACAATCAGTTTGTATCGGGAAGTCCACTATAATACTTATTTAATAATATTTATTTATGTTTGAATATTTCAACTTAAAACTTACTTTGGTTTATTTTAGAAAGTTTGTTCCTTCCGCGTTGAAGGATCCCGTCATCAAAGATATTGCTAGAAAGCACAATAAAAGGCCTTCACAGATAATTTTAAGATATCTGATCGAGTATGGTGTCGCAGTTGTGATAAAATCTGTTAAACCAAGAAGGTTACGAGAATGTTTTGATGTAAGTTATCCATCTATATTATATTTTTATTACTTATTTATATGCGTGATGTATATTTAAATTTTCTTTAAATTTTGCAAAGATATTCGACTTCCAATTGACTCGAGAGGACTTCGATCGAATCAGTGAGCTGGATCGTGGCGAAGAAGGGAGGAATATTGGTGGCAGTACATGTACAGGTGTTTTGAATCAACTCGAAAGACATCCAGAATTCCCTTGGAAATCATAAATCGAATTTAACATTGTGATATTTTAATAATTATATTTTTAAAATCCTAAAAGGGTGGAGTTTATCGAAAATTATAATTTACTTGTCTAATAAGTTCGATTAATTCTTAGTTCGATCAGTGTCGGTACAATGATACCTGCCAGGAGGGAAAAGCTTAATTTTGGATTGCGATTTCACCTCCAGAAGCCCTCCCATCAGTTTTATATCAATATACAAAATAATGCATTTCACAAAAAATGTCTGATGCTAATATCACTAATATATTGATATCGGATAAAATTGCTCATGTCATTGAATGAAGGCAGAACAGAGCATCATTCATAATTTATAATTGAAAAATGCCTTTTTAAAGAAAACATTGGAGTTTTACTTTTTCTAGTTTATTATGCCAAAACGTCCTTTTTTGTTAATATTTTAACCGATTTTTTAAAAAATGTTTGTCTATTTACGAATTTTGGACAATAAGCTTATAATGCATAGAAGTAGCGTCTCGCTTAAGATGTATTATTTTATACACTGCATAGTTTTAAATTGTCACGGCTCTTACGTCCTAGTAAAATTAAAATTATCCAAAATAAAAATATCGATTTTAAACTGGTTCGAGTTTATAAGCCCGAAATTTCTTTTTTGTCAGTATTTCAACTTATTGTCCCATTTTCGAATCACAGGCGTTACGTCCCATAATGATATTAAGAATATTCAAAGCGATACTGTAGTGTATTAATCGCTCGAAATTAAAAATTTTAAATTAACTTAATAGAAAACATTACTTGTTTGAGTTTTTAAGCCCAAAATTTCTTTTTTTTTCAATATTTTAACTTATTGTCCCGCTTTCGAATCACAGATGTTACGTCCGATAGTGCTACTAAAAATATTTAAAGCGATACTGTAGTGCATTAATCGCTCTAAATAAAAAAATTAAAATTAACTTAATAGAAAACATCGGATTTTTACTTGTTCGAGTTTTTAAGTTTAAAATTTCTTTTTTGTCAATAACTTAATTTATTGTCCCTTTTTCGAATCACAAGTGTTACGTCCCATAGTGCTATTACAAATATTCAAAGGGAAACTTAGTGTATTAATCGCTCGAAATTTAAATTTAACTTAATAGAAAACACCGGATTTTTAATTGTTCGAGTAATTAAGCCCAAAATTCCTTTTTGTCAATATTTTAACTAATTGTCCCCCTTTCAAATCACTAGTGCTATGTTATGACTGAACTATGTGAACATTGATAAAATTATTTTTTTCTCTCAAGAATGAAAAAAATGCAAACAGTTCTGTGTCACACTATGTTAAATTTAAAATGCTAAAAGTGTTACCTGTTTCTACTACGAACTATGTTTTATCAATAATTCTCTCCTTTTTTTTGCCAGTTTACATATTAAATATTTTATATCGTATTTTAAAAAATGAAATAGTTTATAATATTAGAATATGATTATTTATTCCATTTATAATGAGTTTCATTATCAACATATTCAGTTGTCATAATGAACAAAGCTGGGTTTTTAATAATAATTAAAGTTCATCTCTAGTTATTAGCTCAACCTCAAGTTTTCAAAACCAAAAAAAAAAAAGTAAAGAAAAAAAATAATCTGAGAGGTTTTTTCTTATATCTCAAATACTCAAAAATAATTATATTAATTAATAATAATATGAACAATATTACAAAAGTTAGTCATTCACATGATATATTTTTTATGGTAACATCTGTGACAGCAAATTTAGATTTCTTTGTAATATGGAAAAAAATAAAAAGTTGGAAAACCTGACGTCTATGTATGATTCTTCTACTCCTTCGTCCTTCCCATTTAGGGAAGTAATACGTGATGTCCAGTTTTTCTTGACCATCGTACAAGATGTCAGGGAGCTGTGTGACCAACATCTCCGACTTCTGCGTCATTCGTCAAAAAAAAAAAAAAAAAAAAAAAAAATAGTGCTATATATATCCCTCAAGTAAAATTTAAATAAATAAAATGATAATAATAAAATAAAATAGCAACAGAAGTTTTGACTTCAGATCATGATGTATGAAGTAATCATTTGATTAACTGATTACGTAAAAGAAAAGTAATATTGACACATAGCGTTGTGTCTGTTTAAGTTTTAACATAAAACAGCAATGATCTTTGTCACCTAGTTTGATTATTATTTTTACAATTTTTTTTTTCTCTTCTCCTCAGGTTGTGCTTTTTCTTTCGGGTATATATGTTTATATTTTATATTTTTGTCTTTCTGTTTGCCAATATGGAAATGTACGTATAAATAGTTCCTTTTATTTATTTATTTTTTTCCATTACACCACAAGTAATCCTAAGATTTTATTTTATCTTAGTGTCTGCATATTATTATATAAATCACTGTAGATATTATTACATTTTGTATTCATTTAGTTTTCTATTAGATAGCTTATTGTTTATAAATTGTGTAGTCATGTATATCTAAATATGTAATTTCTCTTCTTTTTTTTTTTCATCACAATTAAGTAATTTTGAGATTTTATTTTCATTTGTATATATATTTTATTTTTTATTTTTTACTGGTTACATAATTTTTAAATAATGTATATAATATAAAAATTTTTAGAAGTTAGTTTTTGGCCAGATTTGTATTTTACTTTGTATTAACTCATCATTGTTATTCTAAAGGGACTTATTCCCAGAATAAAGTTTAATTTTCTATTCTATTCTATTCTATTTTAATTATAAATGTAATCTAATAATAACAAAAATTTCCAGACTTGAAAATGGCCGTAGTGTTGGCCGAAATATTGTCGAGATAATATAAAAGAAATAAAATTGTGTAATATTGTCTTAGTTTATAAAAATGAAATAAAAAATAAAATAGCTACAGAAGTTATGACTTCAGATATTTTTATTATCAGTTAATTTCAAGTTAATTATCATCGATGAACCCCACCCATAAATATAATCGTATTTTTATATTATGTGATAACAAATAAAAATTTTATTATTTATTTTTCATAAACATTCTGATATTATTTACTCCTAAAATCTTACAGGAAATACAATTAAGTGAAAATATCAAAGGAAAAGAAGACTTGGTATTTTACAATTGACATAAACACCGAATTCTCCATAGAAAGACGTAGACAGTGATAAAAATAAATGATTGTTTATATATTTCATTGTCAATTTAATGAAAGTGGAATATTTCGCTGTGTGATGGGCTTGTATTGATAAGCGTGTTTTAATGAATCATTTATCAATGATAACAGTATTGGAAAACACATTAAATATTATTAAATATTGATTTGTGAATTATCTTCTTTATTATTTATCAATTAACTTTTGAAATATACTTTCTTATCGAAAAAATGTTTACTTTATAAAGGAATTTTTTCTTATTATGAAATGAAAGGTTAGAGTAAAGCTATCTTAATTATTATATCAGAAAATGTATAATACAACATTACTATTATTATTGTACCCACCGCGAGACAGAAAATCAAATTTTTTTTTTTTTTATCAACCTGTTTAATTGAAAAAATTCAACCACATAGTCTTGTGTTTCTGAAATGCAGTCGAAGAATAAAATAATTCGACATAGTTTCGCAACAAAAAATGATCGAAACAATATTGCTTTTTCAACTGTAAAACGTTTTCCCTTGGCTGCTCGAGTTATAAATTAAGAATTTTACATGTTTAAACTCATATACACAAGTTAAAAAGATAATAATTTTCCCCACATTTTTCGTAATATATATCCTGTTTCAATTCAAAATTTACTGGCCTAATATTCGTGAAATCAGACGCCATTTTTTAAAGCAGCGGCTCTAGTTTGTAATTTATATTCAAACCTTCGCCTTCGATCAAGTCAATTTTCTTGCTCTGGTTCCAGGGCTATTAATATAAGTTCTCGCTATGATATGCCAGTGGTATAGTAACAACAAATATATGGATTTAGACTTATAATTAAAAAACAACAACATTTTAATGTAAAATACATTATGAGAAAAAAATGGCATTAATTGTCAAGTAATCTGGATTGAGTAAACACTCGAATGTTTGAAATATTTTAAAATTAATCGAGATATCGCCATTAACGATAAAATTTTAAAGAGTAATTCTAGAATGAGTTACTGTTATTCAAGTATCGTTAAAGAAGTTATGTTTAACAATTGTTTTTTTTTTAAATCGTCATTAACAGATCTTTTAATCTTTTTCTCGACCATTCAAACAAATTTAAAATAGACTGGTAGACCTAATTACACACTTAGTAATTAGTTCTACTTCGATGGAACCGCTGATCAAACGCGTTTTTTACTTTCACTTAAATATATGCTTGATAGTTAAGGAAAATATTGGAATCGTGGAAATTTTCGAATCCAACCTTCAACAGAAATACTTTATTTTTATTTATCCCGATAATCATTAGTATTGTTTGGTACTATACACAGTACTAAAAGGAAATGTAAAGTGATAGAAACGTATAAATTTATCATTTCGGTGTGCGATAAAAACATGGTAACTAATTGTTTTAAATGAAGTTATACCATAATGTTCGCTTTGACTTTTCTATATATGAAAATACTTATCTACTGCAAGGTTACTAAGTGAAGGTTGTGTGATGCCCGCACCGCAACCAGAATTTTTTTTTAGTTTACTGCAGTAACTATGTGATAAAATACTTAAGGTTTTTAAAATCGATTTAACTAATAAAGATGTTTAATAGTTAATCACATACACTACTACGATTCAGAATTTATTTATTAATTAATGGTCTAATATTTTTTAAATTCGGAATTCGCTAAACACGGGTATTAGCTGATATCACTCACATCATTTATGACGAACTGATTAGGTTAATCAGGTCTTAAATACACAGCAGCTGCTTGGTATAAAAATGAATCAAGGATAATTTAATTTTTTTCGTTAATATTTATTTATTATCTTTATTGAAGTGATTTAAAACGAACAACAATGTCGAAAATAAAAAAAAAAATTGAGATTAAAAAGCTTTTACCTTAAAATTATATAATAAAATTTCTATTAATATAAGCTTTCAACAAATTTTGTTATTTTATTTTGCAATAGAGCTATCTAAAAGATTTTTTAATATATTTCCTCCTACATCGAAGATTTCAAAGCTTGAGGGAGGATATTTGGCGAAGAAAACTTAAAAATCAGTAGTATTTTTAAAATCTTCAAATTAATATGAATGAACCAGTGTTGCCGCTTGTACGAGGAACCTCGTTATGTACGAGGTTATGACGTAATGTACGAGGTACCAGAATCGGCCAGCCTCGTACCTCGTACATAATTTTTTCTGACGTATTGAAGGTTATACTTTTAAGAATAAAGTTTAGAATTGTTTTACAATTATTTTGTATGCTGACAAGATATGCTGACATAATTGTATTTCCCAGGACATCAGGGACGGCGCTGATCTTGGACCCTACTGTCCGCTTTGAGAGCAATGACCTCAATCAGGCGGGTTAAGAGGAAAGGGAAAAGAGGAACGTCTATGATAAATGTATCCCTTTCCTGAAAGAGAAATTCCGCGAGACCTTCGGAGAGAGAGCTCACCGTGAGAGGTCGCTGGTTTGGGTCTCGCGGAACGATTCCAGAAAGAACAAGGAGCTGCCTCGAGGAGAACTAGGTGTTGATGTTGGGGAGCTACCGATATAGGCCGAGAATATTATCCTGGACTCCCTGGGAATCATTCACCATCACCTATATAGTGATTTAGCACAAATTGAGGATGTTTTTATCATTTATTTATTATGTTTTAAATTGTTAGAATTGTCTTGTCTTTTTGTCTATAGTGGTCTGGAAAGTCTGGAAAATTGTAATATCATTATTAGTTAACATATACATTTACAAAAAGAATTTCTTATTACATATAATTGAATTGTCTAACGATCTGTGTCATATTATTTTCGATATACATAGATTTATCCAAATCTATACAATAAAAGTATACAACCTTTACATGTACATAACTTTATACTTTAAACCTAATATTAAAAACAATTGAATATTACCTTGAATCCTCCAAGAAAATTAAAAAGAAATTTTTATCGAGCATAAAATAAAAAACGAGAAAGTATATCCATTATTTTCTTCGTAATTATTATTTCCTTCATAAAACTGTAATTGTAAATATACTCTAGTTAAATTAAGTTTTTTTAAATTACCATAATTTTAAAAAAATATTTTCGATTTTTAATCCAGTAAAGTAATTAATTGAAAACTTAACTGGTACTCATAATCAACCGATTTTAAATAATGAAAAAACAACATTTTTTTTTTTGGTTCACATTAAAAGCAGTGGTTCACATTTGTTTTGTGCGAGAGCTAATGGTAAGCTAAATACTGAAACAATCATAAACTATTCATTTTGGTTTATTATTTTCAATAATGAAACATTTTGATCGACCAAAAAATTCAAAAACATAACCCCCTCTCAAAATTTGAGGTTTCACTTTTCAAGACGCGTAGAATTCGAAAAACGAATAAAATTTTTTTGTCCGTCCGCCGTCCGCGCCTATTCTGCGAAACTACTGAACAGATTTTTTTCAAATTTTGATATAATATCAGAGGTCACCCGAGGAAGATCCTCCTTCATCGACATTACTCTCCGCCTTTAACTTTCAAAATGGCGGCCGAAAAGCCTGCGTTGCTATAGACTGTAGCTCCTAAACGAATGTACAGATTTCAATGAAACTTCGCTAACGTCATTTTCTCGACGCCCTTTAAATTTATCTATATAACATACTTCAACGAAAAGAAGCTGGAAAAAAGTTACGACGGATGGTAATATTAAATTCCGAATAACTCGAAAAGTTTTTACTTTTTTGTGGATATTGTATATGGTTTTTTATATATGTTCATTATTGTATATGGTTCTGTTTATGGTGGATAGTGGATATGGTTTTTTAAGAGTTTACGAAATTTCCTAAAAAAAGTCGTAAAAATCGGACAATTAGGAGCAAAGATATGGTCTCCGGTTTTTTTTTTATGTGTTCTACTCCAAATGTTATATCCTTGGTTTGGTTTTTAAATTTTAAATGTGTTACTGAACTAATGCTATTTTTTTTTTAGCATATTACTAATGATTAAAGAAAAACAGTTTCGTCCAATAATTGGAATCACCTTTTGTTTTTTTTTTCTTTGTAACTCGGAAGGTAATGTTACTTTAGATGGATAATTGTTTGGAAATAATAAACCATTGTGAAATAATTTGTAGCGTTTTTTATATTATAATGGATATCTCTAAAAGCATTAATGCCCCAATAATTACTTATGACTCCACACCCCAACCAACTCTTCTTCAATAAATCCATTCACTATACTTGCTTACACAGGCATAAATGTGTATTATTTTGAAATTACAAAAACATTTCATTTTATTTGAGTCAAAATTGAAAGATTGTTGGGGATTAGTCAAAATTGGGGATGTATCATTTTTATTCAATTCCATTTAATAATTGCTTTTACATAAACGCAAATGTATTTTCCTTGTTACACCTCTCTCACAAGTTGTGATTTTCGGTTCGTCCAAAGTCCAAAGGAGAAAAGTTAGTGATTGGTGAAGAAATAATCACGTAGGTATAAGTATAAAATTCCATCTACTACTTTTAAAAAATTCTTTAACAATAGATGAACAATTGTAAAATTCTTGATACGTTTATATTTCATTAAGGCCAGTTCAATTCAGCCGAAAGTCGGAAGAAATTTGGGGAATAATTCACGAATGGTCTTGGAACAAAGTAAAAAAAAATAAAAAATATTGTACTTAATTATCAACGGTCAAAAATTGACTAGCGTAAAACAAGCGGAAACGGGACTTTGTCATCTCTTCCAAATGTATTGAAATACCAAAAAATAATTGTGTGACTCCGGTCCCAACTAGTACCCTATAAGAAGTTTTGAGGGAAAAATCCTACCATTGATAACTTGTCATCAGAGTAATAATTAGTGTAGCCCAAAATCGGTCTTGGCCTGGCAAAGTGCAAACGAGGACTTTAAAAAAAAAATCGTTTTTTAAAAATAAAAATTAAGGCAAAATAGGTACCAATACTTGATAATCTTAGTTAATATATGTCAATAATTGATGTAACCAATATACTTACGCATTTAACTCCTCTAATTTTTCATTAGGGCTTACTTAGGTTTCTCCTATCTAAAAAATTACAGTAATATCTCTATAGAAATAAGCTAATAAGTAACTGCAAGACTGTTGCGAGACTCTTGCGCAAGACCAAGAACATGACCAAGGCTGAGTTTGCAAGACCAAGAATCGTCTCGGTCTCACATTTGGGCAACAATAGCAATAATGTATGGAGTAGAAAGGAACAATACGAAATTGCTTACAAAAACTGGTTAATCATGATATCTCATGATATGAAGGCAAAAAACGGAACTTCGTTTCCATGTTTCCTACTGAAAATAATCAATCAAATTTAGAAAAAAAAATTAAAAGAATAATATGGATATGAATTAACAATTTTTCTGTCACGGAACTCTTTTTGGAAACCGATATAATATTCAAAATTAATCCTGATACAAAAGTACAAATGTTATCGTAAATAAATAAAATCTTAACAAAAATAACTTTATTTTATAATAAAAAAATAATAATTAAAAAGAAAAGAAAATTGAATTTATTTTTTCCAAGGAAATTCGGGATGCCTTTCTAAAGTTTTCAAAATGCCAGTTCCACAGCTTCCTCCAATGAGCCTTCCTTCCTCACCGCAGTCTAGATCGATTAGTCGATCGTACTCTTCTCGAGTCAGTTGGAAATCGAATATCTTTAAACAAAAAGAAAATAATAATAAATAAATAAATAGAAAAAAAAATTTACAATTGTAAAGAGATTGGATGAAGGCACCAGTTATGGACACAGAGCCCAGTGATGAACACGTTGGACTTTAAATATAAATAATAAGCTTCCTTGTTGATTTAAAGGTTCCGGTTTTTTCTAGATTGAAAAAAAATGCCCTCTATTAACAACTGTATGAACAAAGTTTCCAAAATTTCAAAATGCCTATCATTGTTGTTTATATAGTGCTCTTGAGATAAGGGTGTTCCATACCTTCCTACTAACAGTTTTGCTAAGAGTAAGTTGAACATTTATCTTATCTTTATCGTTATCTTTATAGGTAAATAAAAATTTAGAATTTTTCTGAGGAATGTCCATTACTAGAACAATTGAAGTACGGGATGTCCATCAGTAGTAAAAAAGGTGTTTTGATAATACCTGTATAACTGAATATTTTTTCCAATTTTAAAGTGTTAAAAAGAAAAAGGAGACCCTAAAGACTCTATTTGTCCAACGGAAAAAAATTATAACTATAATAATTACGGTGGCATAAGCCAAAAAAGACAAACATAACTGGTGCGCTTACCATAATTGAACAAAAAAAGAATTTAGAATACTTACATCGAAACATTCTTTCAACCTCTTTGGATTGACTGATTTGAATGCTATGGTAACACCATACTCGATCAGGAACCTAAGCACAACCTGCATTGGCCGTTTGTTGTACTTTTTCGCAATTTCTTTTACAACGGGGTCCTTCATCGGGGAACGAACAATCTTTCTGGAAATAAAAAATAGAAATTAATTATTGGATTTTTATAAGTAAAAATAAAACATTTTTTTACAACCTCACAATCCAGTGAATTAGTTTTTCAATTATTGTATATAGGTGTGAATGTGTTTTATATATTTCAATTTCATTTAGGTTTTTTTTTTTATTTTTTTTTTTTTTTACCTATGTATGTTAAACTCTTTTTCTTTTATCTCTATTTTAGTTATCATTTGTATGTATATATTTTGTGAATGTTTAATGTAGCCCTAATATTAATGCCCTCCAATGCGGCAGAATGTATTAATTTTCAAATAAAAAAAAATAAATTACAAATAAAAAACAAATAGAAAAGTTAGAATATAGGTAGGGGCTTAGTTCTTAATGGCCAAACTGTGAGGGTGAACGGAAAATGATTTAAGACCAATCTTGTGTGGTCACATATTTTATTGAATAAGAAGGAACTGCTCAAAAACTGTACAAGATAATAAAAAAAAAAAAAAAAAACCTGTACCACTACAACCCATAAAGGGTCTGGGGTTCAGTACTATTTAGGGAAAGCACTGTTTCTAGGTCAACGGTTGTGCAAGGAGGGGATTTGACCGAGATCACACTCAACCGCCAGGTTTTCCCCCTTAATTAATTATTTAATTAAGGGTACCCACTTTATAGAGGCTGGGTGTGCCCCAGGAGGATCTCTCAACCCAGGGTCGCCCCACGGCCAATGAAACAGACAAGATAATAAAAGATAATAAAATTCTACAAGATAATAAAATTCTAAAAGCACAACATCGTGAAATAGACAAAATTTTGTTGAAAAAAATTACTAAGGCCAACAATAAATGAGACTTTCAGGAGGTTAATATATACAGGCAGTACATCTCAGTACAGCGGACGTATTAGACCTCCTAAATCCCTTTTATCATTGACCTTAGAAAATTTAATCACTGTTTTTTTTTCAAAATTTTGTCTTCTTTACGATGGTGTACTTAGAACTTTTTTATCTTGAAAATATTTTCCTTATAAGCAATTCCTTGTTATTTAATAAAAAAAACGCTGCAAATTATTTCACAGTGGTTTATTATTTCCAAACAACTATGCATCTAAAGTAACATTACCTTCCTAGTTACAAAGAAAAATAAATAAAAGGTGATTCCAATTATTAGACTAAACTTTTATTTTTAATCATTAGTAATATACTAAAATTAAAAATTACTTCAGGAACACATTCAAAATTTAAAAATCAAAGGATATAACATTTGGAATAGAACATATACAAAAAAAACTGGAGACCATACTTTACTCCTAATTGTCCGATTTTAAAGATTTTTTTTTTAGGAAATTCCGTAAACTTTTAAAAAACTATAATACAACTTCAACCAAATAGTGTATACTTTTTGAGTTATTCGGAATTTAATTTTACCATCAGTCGTAAGTGTCATGGCCGAAACTGAGGTTCTATATTCGTATCGTTCCGTCTTTGATAGTTTGTTATGTGCTTATTATCTCAAATCCTGTTCTCAGACTTTGTAAACAGTGAGTTTATAAACAATTTAACATTTTTACATTACAATCAGTGAGGTGAGTGACTTTTATTAACAATTAGCAACATTAAATTGGTACTCGATTGCTAGAGACAGTTTACGTGGCAGATAATTCCCCTCAGCGGGTCTTATCTTTCAAATTCAAGGTCACGGCGCTTTATTTTACGTTCAGAATATCTTGAGTTCGTACCTAAGACAGTATATATATTTTTTTTTTCTCTGTTTTTATTTCTTAATTGATTATTTTATTTTAATATTTTTTTTCTACTGAGACTCTATTTTATTTATTTATAAAAATGTTTTTTTTAATATTTGTATATATATTTGTAAATAGATTAGTTATTAAGTATTTGTTTTGTAAATTTTCTTATTAGTGATACTTTTTTTTTTTTCTCTCTTCTTTTTGTATATATTATTATTTAGAGGTATGGATTCTGATAAGAACATTTCTTTTGACGAATCAGATGAAGAGACTCCTTTCTCCGAAATCAGTGAGACTGATTCTCAATATTTAACAAGGCGAACTCTCCAAAAGCGCCATAGAAACTCTGCCCCCGGTTCGGCGGGCAACTCACCTAATAAAAAAAAAAACAAATCCGCTAAAACAAAGCAAGCTCTCAAAGTAAATAAAGAATCAAAAACTAGTAATAATTCAGCTATGAAACCTGACACTAAACCATCAACTAACACATCCAGTAACAATTCTGTTACAGCCAATAATAAAATTAACGAAATCACTGAACCTAGAACTTTCACTGAACCAGTGCCACCTCCGATTTATGTAAGCAAGATTGACAATTTCATTCAGTTCGGTCAAGAAATAGCTAATCTGATCGGACCGACCAACTTTCGGTGTTTTTCTCGAGTCAACGATATAAAGATTAACACCAATACTAAAGATGATTATAAAAAACTTATAAATCATTTGACAGCACTCAATCACGACTTCCACTGCTATCAACTAAAAGAAGACAAAACATATAGAGTGGTTTTGAGAGGTCTTCACTCTACCACACCCACTACCGCTATAAAAAAAGATTTGGAAGATATCGGCCATTCGGTAAGACATATATCTTCTATCTTACATCCTATTGATAAATATCCACTGCCATTATTTTTCATCGATCTAGAACCAGCCCGGAATAATGCAGAAATCTTCGAAGTTAAAAGACTGCTGTATTCTGTTGTAAAATTTGAAGAGCCGAGGCAGAAACCAATAGTCGTTCAATGCACCAAGTGCCAAAACTTAGGGCATACAAAGGCTTACTGCCATCACTCGGTGCGTTGCGTTAAATGCGCCGGGCCTCACGCCTCTAACACCTGCCCGAAACCGTTAAATGAACCACCAAAATGTGCCCTTTGTGGTGAGGACCACCCTGCAACCTATCGGGGCTGCATTATCTATAAGAAGCTATATAAGCAAAGAACTTATAATTTATCATTAAAAGAAGAACAGAAGAATTCTACCCAGGCACAGGTACAGGCACCTGAACTCCTAAATTTGGCAGCGTTTCCTCAACTGCCGAACGAAATAATACCACAATTGACGCACAACCCTTCTACATCAACAGATCATCCCCATCAAGACTCTAGGCATCTATATTCAGACACTACGGTGAAGAATCAACAGCCGCGACGTCAGACGCCTCAGATTTCCAAAACTAAGACTCAGGCTTCCAAACCTAAGATCCAGACCTCCCAATCCAAGACTCAAATCTCCCACATTCATTCAAAATCTCCACGTCAGCAAATGCCTCCTCACCAGATACCTATACGTGTAAAATTACCGCCCGAACATCCAACTCCTGTTTATTCCCACCCTACTGCTCATATTTACTCTCCTTCCCAAGTTCCAAGGGTACATCCTTCATCAGACACTCCTTATCATAAGATCTTTCCCTCACGAACTCCTAATCAAAACCAACCTGACCAACAAAACCCGATCGATTTAATAAACTCCACTCTTGCTTCCTTCCTGAAAGATCTCCAAGAGACTATCAAGCCACTAATTACCCTCCTCACAAGAATCCTTACCGAAATTCCCTTCAATCTCTCACGATGAGCACTAAGCCCCTAGCTGTTCTTTTATGGAATGCTAACGGACTACAAAACCACCGAGACGAACTCGACATTTTTCTTCATGACTATCACATTGATATTGCTCTACTGACAGAAACTCACTTCACTCGACGTTCATATTTCTACATACGTGACTATATCACTTATAGATCAGACCACCCCGACAACACTTCCCATGCCGGTTCTTGCATCCTTATCCATAAATCCTTATCCCATTCTCTCATTCCTTCTACTCCAACGGAGGCTATTCAAGCAACCTCGGTTATCATTTCAACTCGTCCTTTCCATTTAACATTCTCAGCTGTATACTGTCCTCCCGGTCATACTCTTACCTATAACTTACTTGAATCCTTATTTCAATCCTTCGGATCGCGCTTTATTGCTGGAGGAGACTACAATGCTAAACACCAACGATGGGGTTGTCGATCATCCAACTCCCGTGGTAACATACTATCTTCTGTCTCAACTTCCAATAGTTACTCTGTCCTCTCTCCTATGAATCCTACCTATTGGCCAACATCCCTCAAAAAACGCCCTGATATCCTCGACATATTTGTCACCTCCCAAATTTCCTCTTCCCATGTCACAATAAAATCCCTGGATGACCTCTCCTCAGATCATTCTCCAGTTCTGCTTTCATTACACACAACCTTCGCTCCTAAGCCCTCGTCCTCTCCTACACTGATTACAGGACGAGTAAACTGGGACAATTTTCGTAAAGACCTGGAAAATAAATTGGACCTAAATATTCCACTTAAGACGAAACGTGATATTGACACAGCCATAAAAGAACTTACTACATCTATAAGTGACAAAATAAAGAATAATACATCTACCAATAAAACTGACAACTCCCAACAGACAAATTTGCCGCAGCATATTCGTATCTTATTAAGGGAAAAACGCAGAGCAAGATCGAAGTGGCACAGGACTAGATATCCATCAGATAAGACATATTACAACAAATTAACTAACCAACTAAAAGCTGAAATTAGAAAATACAAAGCTCAAAATTTACATAACATGACAGAAAAACTTACTACTTGTGACAAATCACTATGGTTGACTACTAAAAAACTCCTTAAATTCAAAGATTTTAACCACCCACTTATTACTGAAACCCAAACCTGGTCCAGATCTGATGATGAAAAATCTCAAATATTTGCTCAACACCTCTCAAAAACATTTAATCCACACCCAGACATCCTTAATCCAACCCACCTTGAGTTTATTGAAGCAGAATTGGATACCCCACTCCAATTGACTCCTCCACCTAAAGCATTTCATCCTTCAGAAATATCCAATATCATTAATAGATTACCTTCTCGCAAAGCTCCTGGCCATGACCTAATCACCTCCCAGATCCTAAAATGTCTTCCTAAAAAAGCCATACTGTTCCTAACCTATATATTTAATGCTGTACTCCGCACCACATATTTTCCTGACTCTTGGAAACTATCCAATGTCAAAATGATACCTATACCCACATAGCCGCCAGAACACCCATCCTCTTACCGTCCTATCTCCCTTTTCCCCATTATGGGCAAAATCCTGGAAAAACTCATTTTAAAACGCCTGTATCCCATCCTAGACTCTAAACACATTATCCCAGATCACCAATTTGGATTCCGCACATCCCACTCCACTATTCAGCAATGCCATCGTGTGGTAGATGTAGTCTCCTCTGCATTGGAGCGCGGAATGTACTGCACGGGAGTCTTTCTCGACGTTGAACAGGCGTTTGATAGAGTCTGGCATCCGGGACTGATGTACAAACTCCGTGAATTCCTACCACCTACATACTTCCTCATTATACGTTCCTACCTTACTGACAGATACTTCAAAGTCAATCATAACAATGCTTATTCATCTCTTTTTACTCAGTCTGCCGGTGTTCCTCAAGGTAGTATCCTAGGTCCTATCCTTTACACAGTTTATACAGCTGACATCCCAACCCAATCCAACACTGTCATCACCACCTATGCCGATGACACGTGTATCCTATCAGTTAATAACGATCCTTTAATTGCATCCCAAACTCTTCAATCACATATCACAAGCCTTGAAGAATGGTGTAAAAATTGGAGAATAAAAATAAATTCCAACAAATCCCATCAAATCACTTTTACCCTCCGTCGTAAACCTATGACCTCTTGTCCTACAGTATCCTTCAATAATACTCCACTTATTCCTGTTGAGCAAATCCGCTACTTAGGACTCCACCTTGACAAACGACTCACTTGGAACCCCCATACCAGACTGAAACGACTAGAAACCGCCCGACGTTTTCGACTACTGCAGCACTTACTAGACAAACGATCTAAGCTTTCAATCAATTATAAACGACTCGTATATATGACAATAATAAGACCTATTTGGACTTACGGAATTGAGCTTTGGGGCTCCACTAAACCATCGAATTCCTCTCGTATCCATTCCTTACAATCCAAAATCCTTCGTAAAATCCTCAACGCTCCTTACTTTGTCACAAATAAAATCATCCATAAAGACCTTAATGTTCCATATGTTTCCGATCTGGCCCAATCCAGATACCTTTCCTTCCATAACAAACTGCAGAATCATCCGAATCCTCTCGTTTCAAACCTTGCTTCCTCCTCGATCCCTGATAACCCTCCGAGGCGTCTGAAAAGAAGATGGCCTCGGGATCTTCTAATATAGAACTTTAATTTGAGTTCTACCAATGGGTAGTTTCTCTTCATGTTGTACATGCCATGTTACAAATTTCTCATTTACTTATTGTATTCTCTATGTAATACAGTTGTAAATTCCATTGAAATAAAAAAAAAAAAATAAAAAAAAAAAAAAAAAAAAAAAATTTTACCATCACTCGTAACTTTTTTTCCAGCTTCTTTTCATTGAAGTATGTTATATAGATAAATTTAAAGGGCGTCAAGAAAATGACTTTAGCGAAGTTTCATTGAAATTGGTACATTCGTTTAGGAGTTACAGTCTATACCAACGCAGGTTTTTCGTCTTCATTTTGAAAGTAAAAGGCGGATAGTAATGTCGATGAAGGAGGATCATCCTCGAGTGACCTCTGATTTTATATCCAAATTTGAAAAAAATCGGTTCAGTAGTTTCAGAGAAAATGCGCGGACTGCGGACGGCGGACGGACAAAACATTTGTATTCGTTTTTCGAATTCTACGTATCCTGAAACGTGAAACCTCAAATTTTGAGAGGAGGTTAAGTTTTTGAATTTTTTGGTCGATCACAATGGTTGATTATTGAAAATAATAAAAACAAAATGTGACCATACAAAATTGGTCTTAACTACTTATTCGTTCGGAATCGGCCTATGCATCAACAGAATGTTTATGTTCGATATTTTGTGTAAAATTGATACCAAGAGTTTAGCCATTAAGAAATGAAACATCCTAAATAGGATAACGGTAACAAAGTGATGAAGTTAACAATAATAAAATAACAGTAACATTTTATTTTATAGCTTTCCAAAGTTTGTTAAATTATTTCATAAGTCACTACCTTTGTAACCATTATGCTTTATATCCTAACTTTGCTACCGCTATTTTATCAGTGACTGCTTCATTGACGTTACTTTATAGTCGTTAATTTATGTCATTTTTATCGATCTATTTTTATGTCATTTCTCAATCTTTATATTTTAGGTTGTCTTGTCTTTGCTTAGCGCTTATGAAGCTGAAACTGAGACAGAAACGTCGGCACAGAGAGCAAAAATAAATATATATTTTTTTCATTGACTGAGCGCCCCAACCAACTTCTCTGCTGATATTTTCTACAGTCAACTATTATCCACTATCAAGTTTTGTGATAGCTGTGTCTAATTGCCTAATTATAAAACTGCTGAAATATTTTTCAGTGGAACCACCTAATCATATAGTAAATAGTTATTTTAATAGTCGAATAGAAGTTTCAGCCATTGGATATGCTGAATGGATTAGCTTGATAATATTGACCAAACTGTCTGGTGGAGTGGAATCCATCTGAAGTAAGTTATGGATTTTAAATACCTTTATGCTCATTTCAAAGGATGCTGATGAGTTGTTGGAGACATCAAGGAGAGAATCAAGACGGCTGGAGTATGCTTTCATAGATAGAATGGACAGACTCCTCGGACAATAAGGAAGTCTCAAATGCCACTAAGAAGGTTGTCTTCAAAAATACTTTTCCCCCTATATTAATCAATGCAGGTGAGTCTTGGACCATTACTTCCAAGCACAAAAGCCAAATCCAAGCCATGTAATATATTTAAGAAAAGAGGTCAAATAGAGGGCAAAACCAGAAGGGGTCGCGTAAGGAACGCTATCATAAGAGAAAACCTAGAACTGAGGCCTGTAGAAGAAATAGTCCAAGAGAACCAGTTCAGATGGTTTGTACGATTCTCGCGAATGGCTAAATACATCATTGCCAGGTCTGTTAGATGTCAGAGTGGAGGAAAAGCGGCATCAGAGAATTCCAAGAAGACCTGGGAAGTAGGAATGAGAAGGGGGTTTTATCGCGCCATAAGGTGCGCCATAAAAATTTTTTAGGGGACATATTTCGTCGAGCTTTTGAATTTTCTAGAATGGCACAACAGGGTTATGAATTTTCGTAATGAAAAGTTTCACAATAAGGGACAAGGACATCTACGATTTCTTTAATCCTACATTCCCTTGCTCTGTTTTTAAGAGAAGGTGTGCACTAAAATATCTTCTTAGAGAGAAGGGGTCGTTTTTTGCGCCGTAGACCTTCTCGTATATTGTAGAGGATGTTGGAGAGTATCTTATATGTGCACTGCAGTAACGAAATCTCTCGTTAGTTGGTACATTGCAATAGTTCTGACTTCTTTTGTACAGGACATACGACCACATATTTCCATTGAAGAGGCATTATTTTCTGTGTCCAGATGGAGAATATCATATATAAATGAGCTTATGCAGCTCATCGCGCTATTAAATAGCTAGATGTAGTATGTAGTCAAGTATGTACATACACATGTTACGCCGATGTCGGTTATGCGTCGACTGCAGTAGAGTGAAGGATAACTAATAAATATTACAATTTAATCTAAAAGTTCTCACAGGAGTATACTTACAAATAAATGATAAGCTAATCCGATTAACTTACTCACTTTTTCCCACAAAATCCACCTAAGATCTCTTGCAGCCCCGGACAGCCGAGGGGAGCCACGGCAGTTACAGCTATCCCATTCTTCTTGCAAAAAGAGACCACTTCCTTCATCTGGAGGTAGAGGTGGAGCTCGATGGACAGGCTGACGGGCCTGATGGTACAGCTGTCGAGGATCCTCGCCACCTGGCTCAGGTTACAGCAGCCCAAGCCGATGCTCCTCGTGCGGCCAGCAACCACTTGTTCCTCCAATCCCTAAGGCAGCAATGATTTTAAATTATTAGGGAATCATAAATAAGTATCAATTGATATGTATAACATATTTTTTTTACTTTCGCTATATATATAATAATAATACTTTATTTCTGCCGAGTCCGTTAGAATTATACAGAAGGGCAGAACTGTGTGCTAAAGAGCTTCAGAGATACATAAACAAAACTACAGAGTAATTAAATAGTCATAATAAAAAAATTATAAGTTACTTTCTAACTTAAATCAGATTTTTTTTTTCTATTTATTCAGAAATATTACAATCAGTCACAATTAAAGACATTTATAATAGTATTCAGAGAGCACGTTCGCACTCTATTTACAATAAATAATACAGAAACTAATAATAATAAAAGTCAATGTGTATAAACAAAGGAACAAAGCTTATCAAAATAATAACTAAAACACATGCATTAAATCAGTTAATAATAAAAAATTGAAAATAAAGTAAAACGGGATTTAAAGGTAGGAAGACCATTGGGTAGTTACTCAGCAAGTGTATTCATGTCATTATATCAATTATGTCCAAATTTACTTGATGTATTTATGTAATACAGTTGTAAATGTCATAAAGAAATAAAAAAAAAAAAGGTAGGAAGGGTATTGGATTGACGGATGTGGGAAGGGATAGAGTTCCATAGGAATGATGATCGGATAATGAAAGATCTGTCGCAAGCAGGGGTTCGGTGGGTATGATATTTATAAATCAGATGACCTGGAACGAGTATTGCGGGAACGAACGAAGGATTTGAATTGGAAGAGCTTGGAGTTGTATGAAGGTCGATGGGATTGCATGACTTGAAAGAGGAAGAATTCCAGGAAATACTTACGACAGTAGGAAGGATAAAACCACTTCAACTCTACATATAAATATATATATATATATATATATATATATATATATATATATATATATATATATATTTTTTTTTTTTTTTTTTTTTGTTGGTTGGCGCTACAGACTATGATGATCTTTGACCGCGAGATGTGGTCTCCTTACAGACTATGTTGCTTGCGGGAGCACAGATAGCCTGGAGTGTGTCACCCAACCTCACGCTGCTAGAAACAATGTTCTCCATGGTGCAGCAGACCGTACAGACCATCCATCGACCGAACCATCCTGGTAAACCATATCCCGATTCCCAATTTAAGTTCACAGGGTAGGGTCATCAGTCCTACGCCCAGTCACTATGAGTTGACTCCAGTAGTATGACGGGCCTAACTTACCTGGAGGAGGGGAAGACTCGGACAGCATGGCTTTCTCTGGTGGACGGTCACTTAAATCTGACAGTCACCCATCCAAGTAAAAACCACGCTCGATCTTCCTTAACTATGATTACCTATTGCAAGCGCCTTAGCCCGTACGGCTACTCCGGCCCCCCATATATATATATATATATATATATATATATATATATATATATATATATATATATATATATATATCTTCCGGTTGGCGCTACAGACCATGAAGATCTTTGACCGCGAGTGTGGTCTCCTACACCACATCTCGATTCCCGCTTTAGAGTACGGGGTAGGGTCATCAATCCTACGCCTTATATATATATATATATCTAATACACGTTTTGAGGTCTCCGGTGTCCAAGTAACACAAGATGATCTGGGTGTGTGTATGTCCTTGTGTGTTAAGAGTATAGCTCAAAAACGATTATTCTTATGAGAGTAAAATTACATATTTAAGGTTTTTATATGTTTGGGATATTACTATTAATATATGCTATGTAATATATAGCTTAAATTACCTTCCACGTTCCTATAATATCTGTTTTCAAATCCAATAAAATTTCGCCATCATCATCAAGAGGAACAAGCGTATCTCCTTGCTTGACGAATCCCATCGGCGAACCAAGTTCGTACAGATCTAGATAATCCAGTTGCAGTTCATCCAAGGCTTTTTTAAGGAAATACTCCACATCTTCGTATCTATTGCCAACTGAAGGAAGCTAAAAACGAAAAAAAAAAAATTGAAAAATAAAATATTTTGATAGTTAAAATATAAAAGACTAACGAGAGAATACCTTGGCTGAAATGAAAATATCTTCTCTCCTGAATTTGTTGCTAGCAAACATTTCTTTGAGAATAGACCCTAATGCTTTGTATTCTGCATAGGAGGTCCTGATGCGCCTATAACCCAGTTCCAGGGCAGTATTCAATGCGTTCTCCATGTCTTCATCATTTGTCTGATAAAATGAAACATTTTAACAATTCTGCAGCTAATTACATTAAATATAACTTTTATCTAGTCACAAATATTGTATTTAAAACACATCTAAATTAGAAAAAAATGTGTTGGAAGCAAAATACACTTATCGTTCTATGTTCAATAGAAATTATGTTCTAGCAATGTTGAGCAATTATAAAATTTGTTGAAGTGCTTAAACAGCTGACAAATTATTAACACCATTAAAAAAAAACAGTGTTGCCGTTTGTACGAGGATCCTCGTATTTGTACGAGGTTATGACGTTATGTACGAGGTACGAGTATAGACCAGCCTCGTACCTCGTACATAAATTTTGCTGACGTTTGCAATGCAAGGTTATATTTTTATGAATGAAGTTTAGAATTGTTTTACGGTTACTTTGACTGTATTATTATTTATGTTGATATGAAAGACTGAACTTCTGTTGCTTTATAGACAAATAAATTGCAATTATATCTTCTTTAATTAGAGTATGATTAATATTTCCTTCATAAAACCATGATTGTATATATATGGTTTTTTTTTTAGTTTTTATTCAGTATAACATAAAATATAAGAAACCACATCCATTATTACCTTCATAAAACTTTTTTTATAAATATGTATTTTTTAAAATGTTTTGTAAAAGAAAATTAAAAAGAAATTTTTACCGTCATTTTTATCGAGCATAAAATAAAATACGAGAAAGTATATCCATTATTTCCTTCGTAATTATTATTTCCTTCATAAAACTGCAATTGTAAATATATTCTAGATAAATTGAATTTTTTTTAAAATTATTACCGTAATTTAAAAAAATTATTTTCGATTTTTAATCGAGCAAAGTAATTGATTGAAAAATTAACTAGTTTCATAATGAACCCATCTTAAATAATAAAAAAAAAAATATTTTTTTAGTGGTCCACATTTATTTTGTGCGTAATATAATTGTAAGCTAAATACTAAAACAATCACAATCTATTATTTTTTTATATTATAATGGATATCTCTAAAAGCATCAATGCCCCAATAATTAAGTTTTATTAGCCTTCCAGAACCACTAACATCCTTTCATAAAAGCAGTTGTTTTGTTTTTAGAAAAAAGAAAAAAAATTAGTCCTTCCCCCAAACTAAATCTTGGATCTACTAATGAATACTTATGAAGAGTACTTTAAGAAATTTATTTAGCTATTTTAATTTTTATATAATGTGTTCAGTAGTTTATAAAAATATATAAACTTTTTTATATATTTTATTAACCTAATTTTACTTCTTGACCCATTAACTTAAAAAAAAAGTAATGTAAAAAGGCTTTAAAATATATGAATGGAGGTAAAAATAAAAAATTCTGATCTAATTTTACTATAAAAAAAAACAATAACACTGGGCTTATAATAGTACAAGTCATGAATGAACAAGCGTACGAGGATGTACGAGGTTTGAGTAGGAGGTTTTGTCACAGAGCGCGCGGTAACACTGCTCGGTACTCCATCTGTTTATGTTTACCACATAACTCCAGTCTCTGAGCAATATACAGAGCTTTTCAGGGTTAAGTGATAAAACTGAAAATATGAATTAAGGACCTAAAAACCAGGGGAAAAAAATCCTACGAAGGTATGTCCGCAAACGCTTTGTTTAGGAGATATTCACAGCTAAAGATTTTCATTGTTATGCATTATTTAAGTTATATTAAGTAAATAAAACTTATTTATTTGTTCTAAGTACTTTATTAATTAAACGTAAACATTAAATTCATATAAAATGTTGTTAAAAGTGATTTTTTAAGAGCATTAAGACAGGCTCGGCATCTTTCTTCAACAGCAGCAGTTTCAGAACGACACTGGATATATGTTATTATTTCACAAGATTCAATTATCCTTCTTCGTAAGGAATGAAGGTCATTGACCGGACTTGCATAAACTTTTTGTTTAACCTCAATGTGCAGGACAACCATCTAATTGAAGCCACATATCCCTTCACAGTTGTAGTGAAATAGTGGGCGGGGTGGCCGAACGGGATAACTCGTGTGTACAACTCCGCCGTTACTCGGCAATCTGATTCGTGAAACAAATGATAAAAAATAGTCACGAGTTCGAATCCCGGTGATGCAGAAGGCTTTTAAATCCCTGCCCACATCCCCTTAAGCTTTAAGGGCGAGGAAGGGCAGGACCCCAAAAAAAAAAAAAGTTGTAGGATATGAGATACAGGTTGGAATTTTTTCTTCCTCATTTTTGGCATAACTTTCTTGACTGGATTTGCCAGATAATTACCAAAATATCAAATTATCGCAGTTGCCTTTTGTATTCATAATTAGCAGAGGGTTCAAAAAATGTTTTGAATGTCCGATGGAAAAAGGAAATTCCATGATCCGTTGAGTGATAACTTATCCTATGAAAATAAGATTTTTTAAAATGTATTCAGAAATAACTTATTTAATATTTGACTCATTTCCAAACAGTACATAACAAAAAATTATTTTCAGGTCAGCAAAAACGCCTAAAATACTTTTAATGATTTATACCAAGTTGGATAATTAATGTGTTAAACCAGGCATCTTACTTATATTTTATTGAATATCTTTGAAACTGGCCTCTTTATTCGTGCCTAAACTTTAAGAATATATGAGTTAACTATGTCAGACAATAAAAAAATAGAAATTTTAATTTTATGCCGCACTCAGATCACTGACGTTAAAATTCAGTATGTATGTCCGATTTTTTGTTTCAGAGATATTTTAAATCGGAATCCAAAAATTAGTTGACTAGAGCCGACTTTGTCCGAATGAGTGTAACAAAGCTGAGCAGTGCCATTCAGCACCTACAATATAAAGCGCTAAACTCGCCTAAAAATGTTTTCACTTAATTAGCAAAGTATTTCAACATTAACTTATCTCACAAAGACTCACCTTCCAAGTAGCGATGCTTATAACTGGTATTTTTATTTCTCCAGCAGTAATACAACTTCCAGGATGGTAATCCATATTTCCAAGCTCTAAAAAAACGCCAGCACTTTCTAGATCTGTCGGGCGATGTCACAAATTACTACTCCAAAACTAAAATAAATTAATGGACTATGTATAGATAACATTATCTATGTTTATCAGGTAGGAGCTTTTATTCGCTTTGTTTAGAAAACGAATTTGTATCTCAAACACAGAATCTTTTAAAACCATTTTTTTTTTTACTTTTACACAACACAGAAGATATCTTAGAATATAATTTGGTATCTTGACAACCTAATACAAATAGAAGTGTGTTCTTTCATGATCTTAAGAGATAATTATTCCATTTTAACTTCTCAGTTTTTAATTTTCAGTCAACAATCAAGATAATTATATGATTTTCACAATAATTTACGTTTTCTCTATTTTATATATTACGCGCTGCTGTGGCTTAGCCTGGCAAAATGAAAAAGAAAGAAAATAGGAAGCACATATAAGTAGATTAATAGCAAAAGCCATCTGTCATTTTTAAAAAGTTGGGAAACAAATTTGTCTGTAAAATGGCTTCAATTTATACTAATTCTAATGATTTTGTTTCTCATGATTCAAATTGGACATTCATAATCATCTGAGTGAATGCGCCGTCATTCATAATCATCAGAAACAGTCTGAGTTGAAGTTATAAAACTAAAATAAAAAATTAATATAAAGAACGTATAATAGTATCGACCTACATAAGGAGAATCATATAACTTCTTCAAATGATAATTTCAATTACTGTTGTAATTATAAAATTTTCGATTAATCAATTAAAAAAAAAAAAAATGCTTGACTACCTTCGGTAGTGAGGAAGCAAAAGAAAATGGCCTTTTCTGAAGAGAAAACAGTAAATGTTTAAAACTCTATAACTCTGCAACGAACTGTCCGAGTAGATCATAGAAAATTTCGATGAATTTTTTTTTATTTTGTCGGCAAATCAGGAATCTTTCATAAATGTGAGTATTATTATAATAAAAAATTCTGTTCTTTTTTAGTTATCCTCAAATAAAATATTGAATTCATTGTAATATTTTTCAGCTTGTTTTCGGGAAAGTATGTTATACACATAAATTAAAAGGATTTTAAGGGGAAAACTTAAGCCAAGTATCGTTAAAATCGGTAAAGCCGTTTTGGAGCTACAGTTTACAGCGAAACATTTTTTTGCGGCTTTGAACAAAAAAACATTTACATTTTTCTTTTTTTTTACATATATAAAATTATCGTAAGACAGAAGTACTATGCCAGAAATGGAACAACTTCCCAAAGTTTCATGGCGATCGGATGAATGGTTCAGTAATACAAAAAAGACAAACAGACCGACAGACAGACAGGCATACATTCATTTTTATATATATAGATAAAATATATTATAAGTATAAGTATAAGTATAAGTGTGATAGAATTTCAAAATGATTTTACAAGTTTTTTTCCCAAAGGAAGCTAATTTGTTAAGGCCATGCCAGTTCATATATGATTTTGATGAAATTGGACATTTATTTCTGGATGTAACCATACCAATTATGTTTTCTATATTTTTAATTGATGTTTAGCAGCTTCTTATATTTTTATCGCTCAGTTACAAAAAGTTTAATTTATTTTAAGTTTACTTAACTATAAATGTACCAGGTAGTAAGTGAAAGTATTGCGATGGTGAAAAATTTCTGATCCAATCGATTTCAATGGAAATACATTTTTCAACATCTCCTAAGTAAAATTTGAACGAAACTGTGATAATTTATTCATGACACGTCTTTATTTAGGGCTGTATTGCGTCAGCAAATTGTTGATAAATAATAGAGTGTATAAAAAAACAAATGACTGTTTTTCAACCAAATATTTGTATTATTATTTCTTTGATATGAAATACAATTAACACTCAAACTATATTGCTATAGTATTATTTATACAACATTGTTATCTACCGTCGTTAGTCTTATGCTAAACAATTGCTCCCAGGCTGATACCATCGTTTGGAATGACTTTCGAAGAACTCTTGGACCGCATTTCAACTTCCGCAAAATTATCAATTTTTTTCTCTTGAAGATAATGGGCCATGGATCTAAATAAGTTGTAATCCGATGGTGCGAGGTGTGGACTGTATGGTGGATGAGGCAGAAGTTTTTCAAGCAAGGGTTTTTCAATAAATTTTCATAAATTTCTAACCTCTTAGAACCTAACCTCTTTTCGTGAGGGACCAGTCTACTGCTCTTTTTTACCTTCTCCATGGAAAGTAGATGGTGACTAACAAAATCTTTCAACACAACACACTCTCTGGCAAGTTAGTGAGTAATCGTGGACGGATTTGACTCAACAGCTTCCTGCAGAACTTCATCAATATCATTAAAAAAAATTCGATATTAAAACAGAGGTCACCCGAGGATGATCCTCCTTCAACGACACTACTATTCGCGTTCTACTTTCAAAATGGCGACCGAGAAACCTGCGTTGCTATGGACTGTGGCGCCTAAACGAATGTACCGATTTCAATGAAACTTCCCTAAAGTCATTTTCTCTAAGCCCTTTACATTTATTTATATGACTTAGTTCAACGAAAAAAAGGTGTAAAAAAAGTTACGAGGGATGGTAAAATTAGATTCCGAATAACTCAAAAAGTACACACTTTGTTGTGGCTATTGTGATAAGATGCTTCAAAGGTATTTAAATTTCCTAAAAATTGAAGAAGATTTCATCGAAATCAAAGCACTATTAGTAAAGATATCGCGAGTTTTAAGTATTTTTGTTTTATTATTTTCAGTAATGAACCATTGTGACCGAACGAAAAATTTAAAAACTTAACCCCCTTTCAAAATTTGAGGTTTTCTGTTTCAGGATACGTAGAAATCGAAAAACGAATAGAAATTATGTTGTCCGTCGGCCGTCCGCTCATTTTCTCCGAAACTACTGGACCGATTTTTTTCGAATTTGGATATAAAATTAGAGGTCACACTAGGATGATCCTCCTTCATCGAATGGTTATTTAAAAGCTTGTGGAATTTCCTAAAAAATCGTTAAAATCGGACAATTAGGAGCAAATATGTGGTCTCTAGATGTTTTTTATATGTTATACTTCAAAGGTTATATCCTTTGTTTTGGTTTTTGGTTTTTGAATGTATTGCTGTTGAATTGCTAATTTTTTTAGTATATTACTGATTATTACAAAAAAAAAAGTTTAGTCTAATAATTGGAATCATCTTTTATTTCTTTTTCTTTGCCGCTAGGAAGGTAATGTTACTTTAGATGTATAATTGTTTGGAAATAATAAACCACTGTAAAATAATTTGCAGCGTTTTTTTTTTTTTCTATATTCACAAAGTAATAACATTTACAATATATAAAATTATAATTGTGTATAAATTACTGTAGTAAACTTTGCTCTGACTAATCGTTATTTTTATTATACTATAAAAATGATATAATGGGTTTATGATAACTAAAATGTGTGATTAATACATTTTATTGAAATCTATTTCCTTCCCACTAAAAAAAAAACACCGTCATTTTTTTAATATAGCTTTTGTAACGTGTGACAGTAATTTATCGAAACTCGATTCAACAAAAAATCGATCAGAAGCACATTTCTTATTTCTTATTTTTATGGCTAATTAAAAAATTATTTATATTGACTTCCGCAAATCAGTTACTGAATTCTACATGGTATTCAAATTTTAAGATATTTTAATCCATACCTTCAATAAAACTCGTAACCATTCCCTTTTCGCCTCTCTAACACGGCGGTGCGTTAAGATAAAGGGGATGAAATTATGAACATTTTACTCGCTTACAATATGCAAATCTGATTTTTAGTTTCTGAGATATTTTAATCCAAATGCTAAAACACTCAAGCCGACTTTACCCAAATGAGCGTTACACATCCGTGCCTGACGGCTCTGTCTCATTCACTCCTCACAAAAAAAAGTGCAAAACGTGCCTAAAGAAGTTTTCATTTCATTAATAACATGTATTCAAATATAACTGATACTTTTAAATAACAGATACTTTTCCTGTATAAAAATAACTGGCTGAGCAAATTGGCATAATATCTTGAGATTTTATGTATAATAAGTTATATCCGTAAAGTTAATTATCTGCTGATTGTAGAATGGTAGACTAAGATTGTGAGATGTAACTGGTGTAGACTGTGTCACTTAAATTAAAGAAACAGTATTTTAAAATTTATTTTCTTGTGTTTATTTGAGTAATAGCTTTTTTTTTTTTTTTTACCTTTCTTTATTGAATATTAATACATTCTGCCACATTGAAGGGCATTAATATTAAGGCTACATGATTCATTCATACAATATGTACATACAATTAATATCAATAATAAAGAAAAAGAAATATAAAAAATAAATAAAATAAGTAAATTGGTATGCCTATATACAAAAAAAATAATGAAATAATAGATAAAAGCTAGATGAAATTAAAGTAAATAAATCACATTCACACCTATGTACAATATTTACATTCACCCAGGGGACTCTGAGTCATGCCTTATTCCCCGACGTGGAAGCCAAGGCAGGACTCCAGGACATCCCAGTGCTTCTCTCTCAGCCCCGTCACTGTTATTTGAAACCTATAGCAACAGACGCTCATGTCTTGAGTGGAGAATCTGGCCATTGCCAGTTCTCAAATATATACATATTTACAAAAGGTCGCGGGGCACTGCCGTTTTAACCTTCGGGGAGGATTGTAGGGATGACTGGAGCTAGATAGGGACTGTGCTATAGGATATGGATGATGAGTGAGTTTCTGGTGAAATTTGGAAAAATTTTCTGGGGTTAGGTCAATAACAAATGGGATATGAAGGTCATTATGGAGGTTTTTGTTGGATACATAGAAGGGAGCATCGACTATTGTTCGGAGGATTTTTGACTGGAAGGATTGAATGCGTTTGATGTTAGAAAGTTTTGCTGTCCCCCACAGTTCTATTCCGTAGGTCCAAATAGGTTTCAGGATTGTCTTGTAGATTAATAGTTTGTTGTCGACTGAAAGTTGAGATT